CGTGCTGCTTCGGATACGTCTCCACAGGCACCGGACGTCCACAACGAACGCTACTTCTCGGCGACTGCTGGACGAGGGCATAGGAAGGGAAAGTGGGCTGTTGCCTCGTAGGAGGGAGGAGGCTCTTCCCTCTGTAATCTTTTTGTCATCCCTCGCGGGGGCTCGCGGAGGACTCCACACTCGGACATAGGGGATGGAAAGGTTTTCTTCGAAAATCTAAGTTGTCAAATTTGTCTTTCAATCGCATATATTGTATAGGTTGGCAATGATGAGTTTGACACCCCTGCCATATAGAGCCCACGTCAAGATGAGAGATGGGCATCTCTAACTTCGATACTGAAGGGGTTCAGATCACGCTAATAATTCACATAATCTGCATGCGGACGAATGAGTATGTGGTCATTTGATTGGCGCATGCTCACTGTGTGTTGGGACATCGATGCAAGGTACTGATGTACTTTGCAAACCCGACCAGGTAGCACCGTTTGGACTGAGGGACAGTCGTAAGGAATATAATTGAACAGCCTTACAGATTTGGCAAGGACATCGTTAACCTTCGATGTCGAAGTAGGGTAGAGGGGAAGGAATTCGATTGCCTCTTTTCCGTTCCTCTCGGGTATCATCAAACCTTCGCCAGTTTGAATAAGAGGAATCAGGGAAGGAAAAAATCGCGATGGAAGGATGGGGAACGGGGAACTTCGTGACATACTGCAGCAATCGAGATTTGTACACTTCACAATTTGAGTACAATACTGACTGGTGCTGACGTTTTCCGCAAACCATTTCTGATCTTTGTATTCGAGACTGGTAGATTCCAATTCATTTTTCTCTGGAGCTACGTATTCTTACGGTGGGGAATTTCTCAATGGTGACATTTGACCAAATTTCGGCCAGAGTTTCCCCAGCAGCCTCAAAGTTCGGTTTTTCCAAATCGGCGTCGAGGGTCTTCCCTTGAGCATCAAAGTGGCTTCCAAATGTCTCGTGAGGCAGAATTACCCCAGACAACTCCTTGCTCAGCGGCGCCATTCGTCTCTCGACTCGATTGTAGGCACTGCGACCCCATCGACAGTAAAAATTAAAACAGGTTTCATGTGGCTTCCAAATGTCTCGTGAGGCAGAATTACCCCAGACAACTCCTTGCTCAGCGGCGCCATTCGTCTCTCGACTCGATTGTAGGCACTGCGACCCCATCGACAGTAAAAATTAAAACAGGTTTCAGGGATTTGTCCTATTTGTTTTTCGTTATTGCATCAAATTCGGGCAGCTCGATCAATCTGTCGAAGTCCAAGCCGTGCGAGTAAGCTGTGGATGACGAATGCTTCCCCGAGCGATTGGGGATGGATGTCGGGCCAGAATAGTCGACTGCTTCTGAGCGGCCCATGCCATTTTCATCGATCTCTATTCCGGCGTAGACTGGAGGGACTAACTTGTGTCGGGCTGCCACGACCCAATGGTGATCGGGAAGACCGACACGGCACTCGAAGTGCATCTGAAGAGGAACTTGCTTCTGAGCCGCAGCAAGCCGATAGGGACTCTCGCTTTGTCATACTGGCTAATAAATCAAACCTCGTTGGGTCCTAAGAATGAGGCAAGTTCTTCCAATTGCTTTATGGTGGCAGTGCAAAACTTCCCATCGATGTGACTTGCATGTTTGTCATTCTGAGCTTTCAAAAGTTTGACTGGCACCATGACTACATGACGTTTCCCTTCTGTACACAGGCTTCTACGAGGGAGAAGACGAATGTAAACCCCGCTTCGACTGATGGAAAACCTGTATTTTTTCAACTGCTCTGTGAGTTCGTCGAGAGTTCTGATGTTGCAATAAATGTCGCTGTCTTTTCTCATGAGCCGCTGAGACATGTAAAGCAGTATTGATTATGCTCGTCAAAAGAAGAGGCTGATCAACCTCAGCTCGGGGTCTACCAGGTCTCGATCTCACGCCAAGGGTTTTTTGAAGCTCAGGATTACTCTTGCAGGCTTCGAGGTGTTTTTTTGTTGTTGTTGCTTCCCTCTCGATGTTTCTGAGATATTTTGGTCCCGTCTATCTTCTGCTTGAGCGTAGCTTCCAACTCAGACACCTTCGCCTTCTTTGCTGCCAATTCTCTTTCTTGTTCTGAGAGAAGGCCAGTTGATTTTCTCTTCATCAATCCGATAAGATCGACGTTCAAAACGGCTATCTGACGCTTCAGTTCTTCTTGTACCTTGGCTCTGGGATTGTGATGGCCTAGAGAAGAGCCAGAGTGAGAAATAGCGACATTAGCAGTTTCAATGTCGGTATTGCTGACATTCTCAGCTTGGGCACCGGAAGTTGGAGGTTGACCTTCGTTCCAAGATGCCGGGACCACATTGCTGGTCGCTTGATTGGAATTTGTTTGACTCTGCTTTGTCCCAAAACTGTGCAATTTCCTTTTTTTCATGGTCAAAGTCGCCCAATCTTTCAGTGAGGATGCAACAACAGCTGGAAGCTCAGCTTCATTCTTAATTGCATTCCATTTTTCGGTAACATCTTTCTTCACTTGTTGCGGCGTTTTGCTTTGTTTTAGCGTAAGCTGCAAAGAGAGAATTAAATAATTTTCCTTTGCCTATGTTCTTTTTTATGATCACCCATTTGAGATTTAAAAAAAGAGTAAAAGGAGACGGGGAAATGTAGGGTAGAATGGTGGAAATAGAGATCGCGATGCCGAGAGAGAGACGAGCAAGGGCAACGTACTGAGGCTGTTTGGCCTGTCTGGGCAGGTCCATGCATGTAACTGTGACTTTGCGAGTTTAGCAACAGGGGAGAAGGAAGTCAACAGACGTTCCCATGCTCCAAAACCCCACTCCACTGTTAGTAAGAGTGGTGGGTGCGGGTGGGGTAGTAGAGTTGGCCCTTCGTGTCATGAGTGATTTTTTACTAAACAACTACCCTTCTAATAAATTCCAGTCGCATAATTGATTTATTTTTTAATAAAAAAAAACTTGTTACGTCACATTCATGCAACCCCCCCCTCCCCCCCGTAACAAATCGTAACACTTTGTCTGATCCCCCCCTCCCCCCTTGCATTACGTAATTTGTGAACGGCCCCTAAGCCCCATGCCTTCAAACGACCCACCGGCGACCAGATATATATGTATCTCATCTTGACTTTCCCCGCCCCAGCCTCAAATCTTTGGTCCTCGGGCAAGTGTGTCTTTTGTTGACAGATTATATAAGCCGCGAGAACTGCGTCCCGTTAAATCCTCAGCCATTTGGTTGCCCTATTTTACGAGTTTCCTCGATATAGGGACTTCCCGCCCACATTGTACTGTACAGCGTATCCCCAATGTCTTGTTACCCCTATGCAATTTAGGATTTATCTGTAGTACATTTTTTTGTTGCATATACGTTTATTACATGAAACAAAATTACATTACATGTACCTTTAATACAGTTACACTGCTCATGCAGCCAACACGTCTGTTTGTGCACCATCATTCTCGTGAAAGAATGATTCTGCACCAGGTTCTGTGTGACGAATATTTTCAATGCCTTTACGGGGTCGCTCATGGAGCCAGGTACTAGCCAAAATGCGTCCTTCAGTCGTATAGTCGCTGGTATCACACATTTTCAATCTGAAAAGAAAATAGAAAATCAGTTAGTATTTTACTGGGAGTAACAATACATTTTGGAGTCGCTGTATATTGACGGGAGGAAGGAGAGGGGCAGAGGGCGGTTCTCGTTCAACTAAGGAATCAGGAAGCCAACAAAGACTCTTTCCTCGCTACGATGTTTTTTTTTCGTCCTTTATCTCCCGCTTAAGAGGTCCACAAATGAATTAAATTCAGCTTTATTTGGCATGTGTAAGCTGATGCACTCTATAATAAGCGAGGTGGGGGAGTCTAAAAGAGAAAGAAAAATAAATCCAATATTTTTCGAGAAGAAAAGCTTCATACCAAGGAGGAAGGGTAAACCAGAGCAACATCCATAATCGTAGACAGACGAGTTTGTACTTTCATCCTGGATTGACTCCAGCTCGATGCAATCATTTCCAGTAGTAGTCGCCAGCCGTAGACCAAGTTGTAGGTATTGAAAAGGGAGAGCAGCAAGGGCACGTCCCTCATCTACCAATGGCTTCCATCCAGTCTCCCAGCTGCGCGCGATTTTGGTTGGGCGGGCCCGTCGAGTGATCTTGTGGAGGAGTAGTTTCTGCAGCGTTAAGTTTCCACATCCTGATCCCAAGAGTAGCACGAACTCTTGGTGCATTAAGCATAAATAGCCCCCGTTAAATGTATATTCTCAGTTCTCCTAGGCCTTGGACGAACTCAAGGCACTTACAGCTGGAGGTGTGATCGTGGAATCTAAGGCAAGACTTGATAAGCATCACATAGTGATTTACAAATAAATCGTACCATCTTTGACATGGGCGCAATAGGTCCATGGTCGTTTCGTTCATGGAAGATATCCCCTTTCCTCCTTGTGTGCACCATAAAGATTAAAAGCGCCATGTTACATGGGGCACATATTGAGTAAATCGCTCAATGTAGGTTAGGCCGAGCTGTGACATCTACTTGCCCTCAATGAGTAGGTGTGGCTTGGCCATGGGCCTGATACATCAGATGTGGGGCCAAGACCAACAGAATCTGGAAGGACCCCAAATGATTAGACTGGGTCTACTGTACCTGTAGGATAGCATGCAGGAATATAGGCCCAAGCAAAGCCAACTGTACCAGAAGACCCTGTAATTGTAGGATTTTTATATATGTCATAGCCATCCATTTGAACTTAAAGTGGATTTGGATTGAGTTGGTACACTTTTGAATGCCTCCATATGGATTTCACTACTTTATATCCTAATGACTTGATCCAAGAAGTATACATTTGATTCAGAAATGTATTTTTTCCATTCAGTGACACTGTAGTGTTCCATAAAATTTATGTATGACTAATATGCTGTCTATGCAATCTTATGGCCTAGTGCACTAATGTTCATTGCTTAACTCAAGCTTTTGATATAAACTGGTGTCTATTTTTTGTATTTTAGTGCCAGCCATGGAAGATGCATTTTGCAATGATTCCCGGAAGAAGGCTGCAGTATCACTTGCAAAGCTACTGGTTGGAATTAGTAGAAATAGACCTCCTACAGTTTCATCAGGGAATTCCAGCCATGAAGATTCTGGAGTGATGCACAAGAAGTGCAATTCACCAGGAAAGTCTTCTTCATCCATCAGTGTGCTTGCAGAGGATGAAGGACTGGGGTGAGGGCATTTGACTTGCATTTTGAGCATACAGGACTGTTGGTGTAAGTATATTAACCTAGCCAATCATGTTAACTTCTACTGACTGCTTCAACTTCAACATGTGCTATTGGGTGGAGATACCTTTGCTAGTGTTGCCCATGACCCTTGAGCTAAGATTCTCAATGAAGAAACCTAAAACAAAGTAGGCCAAGTGTACCTGGCCAAGTGCCTGGCCTTTGCCAAGTGGCCAAGTAGACCTATCCAATTGTTTATTTTTCTTCCTTTCTGATAGTAGTTGTCAGTGTCACCTATAATGAGCTATAGATATCAATAGGCCCATAAGCCTGTGAATATATACATTGGGTTATGCAAGGGATATTCAGAAATCTTGCTGAGACCTTTTGGTGTTAAAACTTTTGGACCTAGTGAAACATCTGAAAGGGATGGTGGAGCTGTTGGCACTTTCCTCCGAGCACTGAGTAAGCATACCAACAAGCAAACCTCATCAAGCAGTCTTACAATCCAAGACTCTGATCAACAGCCTTCAGAAACTTTGCCCCATTTAAGCCACTCATCTTCCTCCAGGTGGGTCTAATATCTGAAGGAATATTCAAAGAATATTAAAAGTAATTTCATGGTTTTGTCTGTTGCCTATAATATAGGTCTGATATTCCCACAGAAATCCATTTCATGTGAATGAGGAGGTGTACTCAGAGTTGGATGAGCTCAATGCTGTTCTTCCAGTTGATAATGAACTTTCAAGACCCAAGGAAGATGAGCCTGCCTCAAAGTGGTCTCAATATCTTTAATTTGTTTTGCTCTCTGAAGGTCTTGTAGTCTTATGAGGTAAGCATAGCAAATTATTAATTGATTGGTTTGCAGTTGCTTCAAAGGTGTATGGTGCAAACTGTCCAAGAAGAAGCATAAGAACTGGGAAGGGGATGCATTTGTCATTGTTAGTGGGTCAACTGTCATCCTCAAGGTATTTATTTATCAAGGTGAATGTCTCACCTCTTGAGATGTGTGCCTACAAATGCTAATATGAGGTTCTGTTTGCCTTCAGGACGAAGAAGGAAAGGAGATAGGCCGCAGTCTTGGCTATCAGCTGAGCAAGTTGCAATCCCTTATGGAAGGGGATCATCTAGTTGTTGGTGCCAAGGAAATTGAGGTGGATGGTTACTCCTCTCATGGGCAAAAGTATTTATTTCAATAATATTTCTGTTTTGTTTTTATTTTTTTAAGATCCTGGAGAGGTTAGACAAGGAGCCAAATTATAACAGCAGTGAAGTAGATACTGTGGACAGGAAAACAGTTGAACTTGAGGTGAACAGGCCATTTAGGCCTCCTGTGCGAGGTGGGACACATCAGAGAGGTATTCGACGTCCCCCAAAACGATCTGCTCCCATTGATGAAAACTCCTTTGTTCTACCACGTCCCAATGAGTCCCATCAAGTAGGCTCTTTATGGACTTCCTTTTGACGTGTCTCTTTGTCATTCTAGTGTGCTGATATTCATCTCGTGTCATCGAATGAATGGGGTTTTTTCTACTTGTGAAGTGTAATTCACTGTTTCAACCTACCCTTTTGAGTTAGCACCCTGAGTAAATATTCCATTTCAAACAAAACCCCTAGACTCATTGCATCTTTTGAAGTTGGTGCAAAAATATGCAATTGTTTATTATTAAATGGATGGTTAAGATATGAGGGCAATGAAAGGGCAACCAGCTCAAGAAGGTACAGGGCTTTTGGATACAAAAAATAGGTCCACTGTCCTCAAAATGTCTCATTGCAATACTGCAAAGATATCCACTCCTTGAACTTTTCTTGGAAAATTGCAAATGATAGCCATCATGAATTTATGACCCTATACCTGTACTTTTACTTCTTCACTTAGGCCAACAATTCTCAAACTGGGGGGCATGAGAAGTTCCCAAGGGGGTGACAAGTCATGTGGGATTTAGTTTTTGTTTTTATTTATTAAAATTTTCTATTTCACAACTACTTGACATGGATTATTATTATTAATTTTTTGCTGTAAAATGATCACATTCCTTCTCTGCCTGTCAAGATGCTTAAGGGCAGCAGATTTAAGCTGAGTAGTGGGACACCAATCCACCCTTTTTCTCTGAAATAAAAGACCAAGGCCTTTCTGGCTATTTCTCTATGAGTACAACATTAAATGAAAGCAATCCCCCAACACAGGCTTTGAAATTCAATTCTTTTTCAACAGTTGTTAATTTCCATCAGCAATCTTCCACAATCCAAATCAAGATGACAAATGGATTGTGCATCACTTTAGGCTGAACTTGAATCCTCAGTGTAGTGTTGATGTTTTGGTTTTCTCTTAATGAATAGGTCTCTGTCAGGTCTCTGAAATTCCTCCTCCCATGTGCCTCATCTTACCAATGCAAAAATTTGGTATCAATTTGGATCTTAAAATTAGCTTTGCACTGTTATTGCTACTGTTCAGTCTAGATTTGATCGTTTGTGGGCCAAGAAGCATTGTTCCTGTGGACCAAAAAGCATGTGGGCATCATTCTCAATCGATTTGGTGACTGATCATCCAATTCCTAGCTGTGACCTGATCCTTGATTTGTTGCAGTCTTGCAAATTTTCTGGAGTAACATTTCTTGGATTTATGGGAAGAGGGTGAAACTAGGTAATTTATCCAAGGAAGTTAGAGATTTGAGATTACTTCCATAGATGGAAATTACTGTATTTTTTAAATTTTATTTAGGAATGCAACTCATGAGAGCTAAAGGGTGCCTGTACTGCTTCTATAGGAATGATGCAAATTACTTGATGAGCATTGAAATGTTTGTCTCATTGGAAGAATGAAGCTATAACTATGGGTGTTCAAATGACAAGGGGACTTTTAGTCCTCTACCTTAGGCTACCCTTAGGCTATGAGTGACAGGTATTGTCCCCTTTTCATTTGAACCCCCCTAATATTTAGAATTATGATTTTGTGAGAATGGACAAAAGTGAAAAGCTTTACATTGCAATTTCATGAGAGTGACACATTGCAAGTTTTGCGAATTGCAATTCATATTACTTGCATGATGCAGCTGAGAAACAGCTGGAATATGTATTAATATGAAAGTAATTTTAAAATTGGGTAGAGATATGAGTTATGACATTCAGGTGCAAGTATGGAAAGCAAGTTCATTCTGATGCTATGGAAAGAACTCATTAACCCTCTTGGATTCCTCATGATATATGGCAGAGAGATATTGGAAGCAGCTCCTCATCAGTGTGTCAGAGTGATTGCAAAGTTTCACCTGTAATTTTGCATGCACATAGAAGACAGCTGGTGATATTCCCATTCCAAGGAAAAACTGAACACTCCCCTAAGCTAGAGCCCTTTCTTTTCCTATTAATGCTTGAAATCTTGTGCTGTGATCATGGAAATGTTCTCCAGCTCTTAATTTTTTTTAAAACTACTGTATTAGTGTATGGGAGCTATGGAAAAGACTCAAGTAGTCTATGTCAATGGAGAAAAATGTACTGCTAAGCTGCTTTTCAGTCAGAAAATTTTCCAGTTTCCTCCCAGTGATGCCAGATTAACCTTTATCGTACAGTATTTAAATGCCCCTGTGTTGCTTCATAGCTGGTATTTAACTGCAGGTATTGAAATGTGAAGTGCAAGCACATGCAAGCTTTTGGGGAAAAATAAATTCCTCATAAACTATTGATGGTAAAATGATGAAATAAAAACCATATTTACAAAAACAATTCCATTAGGTGGTCTGGCAATACATTTAGCAGTAAGTTTACTTACCTCTTGGCCTATGAAGGTTAACACACAGGGACTCATGGTCAAGCACAGGGCCCAATCAAGCTAAATAAGTATTTGAAGCACAAGTATTTAAAATCTGCTTGAGAGGAGTGAACCATCTATGACAGTCCTCAAATGCTTCCATCCTTCTTTAGTAGCTGAAGTAGGAAATTCTTGAAAATGGACATGACCAATGTGCCATGGGAAACTGTTGATGTTTGGGCCATAGAACATGCTTTGCCCAGGACTCCTGAAATCATTAATTTGGCCCTGCCTTGATGGCAATATTGTGTTGGATGAAATGGCAAGAACAATCTCACAAAAATAGGCAGAAGAAAAAAGTTTTTCAACTCAACTGTACACTCACATTTCGTTGGCGTCTTGTAGCATCATACCTCAGCAACAGCTTCATGTTATGTTGCATTCACTCAAAGAGACTTTTTTTAACACAAAAATTCCAGGAAAAAATATTTTTTGCATAGTTGGATGCATACAGGGTATTACTGAAATCTTTGCAGCTGAAAGGCAAAGTCCAAGAATTTCCATTCAAGAAACATTTTTGTCCTACCCTGCAGCTAGAGCACAATCAATGTGGGGATGTGGTTACGGATGTTGTCATGGATTCATTCCTTACCCACAAACTTCGCCCTCATCAGAGGGAAGGGGTGACTTTCCTCTATGAATGCATTCTGGGAATGCAGGGCCCTGGTTTTGGTGCCATCCTGGCTGATGAAATGGGACTTGGCAAGACCCTCCAATGCATTGCTCTCATTTGGTGAGCTCATTTTATGTGAATCTTATCTACCCATCATTTATTTAATTTCTTGTTAAGCCTCAATATGAATCTGACAAGCTTTTGACTGCAAGGCCCTTGGAGGCAGTTTATTCATATGTACTTGAGGAAAGTTAATTTGGATGAATTGGTTGGGAACAGTGCACAAGTCTCTTTTATCGCTGAATGGGGTTCTCTGGGCCATAAGTAACCTGATATATTATAGAGATTTGTTTTCAGTGATGAGTATTGTTGGAAGTAGTTGTGAACTGCTAGAACTGACATCTCCCCTGAGACTTTACTTGAAAGTCACCATGAAAACACACTTAGCTGTCAGACTCTGGCTACTGATTACTGGAGATAAGAAACTGAACAGAAGACCTGATTCCTGCCAGAATGACCCTCTGGAACAACTAACTGCTGACCAGTGATGATGACTCTTGAGTACTAGATGTTAAATAGTCAGGTCTAAGATTGTACTAACTTCTGAGCTACTGGCACAGCAATCATTTGTGAAGTCTATCCCCTACTTGCATCACACTTCTGAGTTGAGAGAGGACAAGAATATGTCACCATTACTGTGACCTTTACTGTGACATTACTGCATCACATTACTGTGATTTATCCTTGGTGTATGTGGTGAATGATAGCAGTATAGGACTTATTGTTGAGTTGCATGAGTTCATTGGTTTTGAAAAGAGGATGTGGGAGTTCATCAGAAAGACTGATGAACTATGGTTCTCTATGTTGGTCCTCTTTGGTCCTCTGCAGGAAATAGATATGCTTCTAAGGGCAACAAGTACTAGGGCATATTGGAGACATCCACATTTCAATCTGATCATGTAAAACTTGTTAGGAAGGAAAATAGAAAATTAAAATTGCATGTAGGGAGATTTACATATAATGAAAAACATGAGCTTCTTATCCTTGTAAAGTGCCCTTACTCTAATAGCCCTAGAAAGTAATAGGCATGATGATAAGGTAATAAGGTTGTGCTGTATCATTCATGCTCTGAGGCATCACAATCGACATTGACATTGGCACTGGCCATTGGGTAAAATCATCATCAGTTATCAGACAGTTGCCCATAATTGGCTACTGGTACAGCCCTACTTAAAAGTCATTTCCATCATGATTCATTCCTTTTTTATGTTTTGCTCTTTGCTTTGATGATGCTTTTGTCTACATGACAAAAAGGACATTACTGAAGCAAGGTCCATATAGTGGGAGGCCACTGCTGAAGAAGGTCCTCATTGTCACCCCAAGCAGCCTGGTCAAAAATTGGGTCCAAGAATTCCACAAGTGGCTTGGCTCCTTTCGTCTGTCAATCTTTACCCCTGATCAGGTCAGGAACATGTTTAGAAGCTGAAGTAAATGGCAGACTATGGCATCTCTTTGGACTTTCAATATATTTGTGATAACTTTGCTATACCCTGTTGAGTTAGAATATGAGGTATAGCTCCTGGTAGGCACAAATCCTATGGATCATGTTCTGAAATATACAGAAAAATATACCTTTTGGAACCCTTCTTTTAGATGGTTTTACATATATATTTAGCCCATGTCCCCTTGTTTTCCATAGTAAAAGGTGAGTACAGACATTGCATATGAAAAGATTGGCAATCTAGGCTGATTTTTTGGCTTCCTGTATCTGCATTTCAGCATAGTATGTGGTATGAAAGACGGAAGGTGAATCAATTGTGACCAATTTTACTTTATAAGGAAGAATGCATTCTACTGCAAGCCCTGTAATTAGGCCCTGCCTATAGGTGAGTGTTTTGAGGTGTAGCACATGAGGGGCAACAATAAAATCTCAGACATAGTAAGGAATAGCCATTTGAAAATCTCTCTTATGAATGGTGTGCGTTTTTGGTTTTGTCTTTTTAGCTTCATTTTCACTTGCATGTTTCAATGTTTAATTTTCATTCTTTTAAGTTGTTATTGCTTGAAAAAAAAAACTTTCCTTTGCAGGAAAAAAAAATAATTTGCCCCATATATTACTGTGATTTTTACTGTATTTCCTGAGAATGTTAAAAAAAAACATTCCTGGATACAGGGGACTGCAGGAGCTAAAACCACTGGGCATGAAAGTATTAAGGGGTTAATGAAGGTAATGGAAATGATCATCTTCCACATTGAGATGAATTCTGATCAAATGCATTCAAGAAGCACATATGAAGAAAATATTCAAGGTGGCATGTCATTTCCCTTGGAGGTAGAGACTGAATGAAAGTGTCACTGTCATGGGCAAAATATGAATATTATATTTATAAGCCCACTTTTGTTTCAAGAGGATTCAGCATATCCTTGAAGGGAGTGAGGAGTTGAGAAGAAACTTACCATCAAAGTTTGATGCTCCATAATCTCATGAGGCATTGTACAGTTTCAGTTTTTCTCAATTTTTTAAAGATAGGGTTCTTCTACTTTTTCATTCTGGTAATAACAGAGTGCCCTTTTTTGTTTTTGCAGAAAGAGAAGCCAAAGGACTTTGTCCATTGGCCACAGTGCCCAGTGATGATTCTGTCCTATGAGATGCTCTGTAGGGCCATCCAGGATGTTACAGCATTCAAGTTTGACCTCATTGTCTGTGATGAAGGTCATCGCCTCAAAAACAGCAGCATCAAGACCACTCATGTGCTTTCCTATTTCCTAAATTTCAAGTTCCCTTTGGGGATGAGAATATTGGGAAAAGGAGAAAGAGGAGATTTTGATCTAAGTATTTTGAACTTTTGCAGTTGCTATCCAGTCTAGAATGTAAAAGGAGGATAGTGTTGACAGGCACTCCCATTCAAAATGATCTCCAGGAACTCTATTCCATTGTGGAGTTCGTCAATCCTGGTATCCTTGGAAGTCAGTCCTGTGAGTCTCAGTCTTTGCTTTCAGGCTTCCTCTCCTTACTTGTACTGATTTGAAAAAAAGAGCAGCCATTGAATTTTATTTGGACTGTCTTAACCTCAGCAACTACAGTGGTATGTCATTCCTCAACCATGAGTTTTGCAGTTGGCATTTGATCGATAGAGGATGTCTGACTTTAATGTTCCTGGCTGTATCTAATCCAAAAGGACTTAGGACTTTTTTTTCTAAAGCCTATACCACAAGAGATGGCAATAGAAAAGAAAGGACTCTACACAAAAAAGGAACCATTGGTTCAATCAGATTCAATGTTGAAAAAACCCAAAAAGGATATCCTCAACCTTTTTTGAGACAGTTTCCCTGCCTCACCCATTCCCCTCCACCTGCTCACTGTCTTCTCTTGTGGCTTTGTTTTGTAGCATTTCTGGATTGTCACATACCGCTTAATAGTACTTATGACTTTTTTTTTTGCCAAAGCTCTTTATTGGCCAGTGTCACAACATATCAATGCATAATATCTGCTTTTATGCAGCCTGTGGGCAATGATTTTCTGATACTGCTTTAAAAGGTACAAGTGGTGATCCAAAAGTTTCTGTCCTGAGATATAAGGGAATGTACTATAAAGGGAATGATAGACTGGCGAAACAAATTTTATTTTTCAGCATTACCTCTCTAGACATTAATGCTTGTCTGATTGTTGGAACAGTGCTTCAATTTTATTGGGAAAAATTCTTTTTCCATGGTCAACTAAAAATTCTGCAACAATTCTGCAATTGAATTGACATCAGTTTCACCTTCATGACCACTTCACAGGAAGTTTTGCCTTCAATTTACATCACTGAATGAGCTTCCTTATTGGGGTAAATACATTTATATCATGAATAGTTTAAATAATAAATTCAAATTAAAAAACTGCTTCATATTCAAAATTTTTATTCTGAAACAGATTTTTTTTGGTTGGAATGTGTATTATATGCAAATTATTATTATAAGTATAAATGCACCTAAAACTAATTGCTGGCCCTTTAAATTACCAGAAGGGATGAAGGAATATGGGAACCAAATTTTAACTTTCTCCTATCATTTCTACCTTAGGGCTGAAACTTTTGGATTGCCCCATCATATGATTCAAGAATATTGCATAGAGAGCAAATGTGACTGAGAAACACCCCCCCAAACCTCATGCAAATTGGACCTATAACATCCACACTCAAGGATGTTAGTGAATGAAGGGCATCTCAGGAGGAATTACAACTAACATGAACAGATGATACTTCTATACAGCAAAAAAACTTTTAAAGTCTCCATGCTTGTATGGGCTGCCAAAAGCCATTGTGTGTAGAACACAGCCCCTGAATTTGTCAAGACTGATTGTGGATTATAGCCCTTTCGTTTCCAAGATTAAGAACAGTTGTCCTTCAAATTTTTGCTGAATCAGAAGTGTTTTTGCTGGGAAATGAAATTGGGATATGTCATACCATATTATAGTAGTTGGCTTTGAGAAATAGTAGCAGTTGAGGTTTATAAAACTCCTATTCAGATGTTGTGAAGATGATATCCAAGAAGCTTGCATGATAGTTGTGACTATACACTTAGTCTGGAAGAGGCAGTTTACAGGGTGACACAAAAGTTCTGTACACTTTAAAAAACTGTTCTCGATTCTAAGCTACCACGTTCATATATGCTTGGCTTGGTTTCTACACATAGCTTAAGGTACGCGCAACTTAGAGGATTCTCAAAGTGCTGATGAAACTATCAGTTTCGTCATGCCATTGTCCAATGAAGATCGTCGGTCGGCTGTGATCAGTTTGCACGAAGCTGGGAAGTCTCCCACCGAGATTTTCCGACTGCTCCAGAACAATGGCTACAACCGGAACTTCATCAAACGTACAATTCAGCGGTTCCTTGAGACAAACTCTACAGAAGATCGTCATCGATCAGGTCGACCGAAGTCTGTGTCAACCACTGCCAACATCAAAAGGGTTAGATCTCGGCTTCGTCGAAATCCCAAGCAATCGCTGAGAAAAATGGCCCAAACAACTAAGATAAATCGCGAATCGCTCCGGCGAATTGTCAAGAGCAAGCTGAATCTTCGGCCTTTCAAACTCCAAAACGCTCAACATCTCACGGAGCAAGCGAAGAAAACTAGGCTGCAACGATCGCAGGCCCTTCTCCGTCGGTTCGCAGATGGCTGCCATCGCAATATCCTCTTTTCTGACGAGAAGCTCTTCACGATCGAGCAATCATTTAACTCTCAAAATGATCGAGTATGGGCAGCAGAGTCGTCAGGTATCTCTCAAGACCTCCGACGTGTCTCTCGAACACAGATGCCAGCTTCTGTGATGGTGTGGGCGGGTATCACTGCAGAGGGGCGCACGCCCCTGGTTTTTGTGCCGTCTGGCATGAAGATCAACGCGATTGCCTATCGTGACCTTATCCTGGAGGATACTGTAATGCCCTGGGCCAAAAAGCACTTCGGAAACCGCAAATGGACTTTCCAACAGGACTCTGCGCCAGCCCACAAGGCAAAAATCACTCAGGCCTTCTGCAGAAAAGAATTCCCTGACTTCATCACCTCGGCAGAATGGCCTCCTTATAGTCCAGACCTGAACCCATTGGACTTTTGCGTGTGGAGCATCTTGGAGAGCAAAGCCTGTGCTACTCCCCATGCATCTCTTGAATCCCTGAAGCGTGCCCTTCAAACGGAATGGATCAAAATCCCCCAGGAAACCCTGCGTGCCGCAGTCGATGCATTCCGAAAGAGACTTCGCGATTGTGTTACAGCAAAAGGTGGTCATTTTGAATGAATTTGCAGGCATTATCTGTTGAAATGGTTATAGTTTCTAATAGCGTTGTCCCCATTTGTGAGTTCTTTAAAAATGGTTATAAAAAGTTGAGATAACTGAGTGTACAGAACTTTTGTGTCACCCTGTACATTCAGCTTGAAACTAGAGCATAATTGATGACTAAATCTAGTCTTTCTCATTTACCAAAAGATTATGATGAGAGTATTTGCCCAGGCTTGAAGATACAATCAATGCAGCTCTTCCTCCTCCCCCAAGTTCATTAGAATATAAAAGTACTTGGTTACCTGGCACAGACTTCCATCAGGCGATTGAGGTTCCCATTGAGCGTGGACGAGAACCTTATGCAACAGAGGAGGAAAAGGAAAGCAGTGAGGAGGCATCAAACATCCTCAATGGCATTGTGAGTCGATTCACACTCCGCCGAGGTTCTGGCCTCATTCAATCCCATCTCCCTCCCAAGACAGAAATCATAGTCTTCTGTCGACCTTCCTCCCTCCAGGTCAATTTTCCACTCATTTTTTATCTGTTGTTTTCAAGGCCAGCATCCATGTTTTTTTTATTGCATATCCTGCTTTCTCAGTTGAAGTTATATATGGAGTTGATCTCAAGAGAGAACATTGGAGCTGCAGAGACACTCAGCACAATTCAGGCACTCCAGCTGCTCTGCAATCACCCCTCTCTTCTCTATCAACAGGTGGGAGCAGCCTCTTTCCAGTCCCTTCTCAATTACAATCTTCTGAGATGAGCTAGCTTGAAGTCTTCTCCCATAGTTTTTTTTTTTGGGACTTGTGTTTGCAAAGGTTGCTTGTTTTCCCCAGAGGACTAACATGGCATTTTTTTAATACCTTGTACCTCTTTTGAAAGGGTAGATGGAAAACATTTTAGTTCTAGCTCATTATTTATTTTCTCATGATTAAAAAAAGGATTTAAAAAAAGCTAATGCTCTGCAGGAGAAGGCATTTGGACTGAGGCCCCCAAAGGGTTTGGCATTGACATCAGTGCATGGAAGCGGGAAGATGAGTGTGTTGTCAAAGCTCCTGGCATCCCTAGCAGGAGAAGGAAAAGGGGAGCGGGTGGTCCTTGTTTCCAATTCCATTCCCACTCTGGATCTCCTTCAGGCTCACTGCTCTGCCTCTGGGTATTCCTTCGTCCGCCTTGATGGGACCACTCCACCCCCCCAGCGCCTTGACATTGTTCGCCGTTTCAACTCACCTCTCTCCAACACATGTATGTCATGTTTTTTCTCTTTGAATTCTTCTCTCCATGCTTCAGTGCATTCATGAAAGTAGCACCTTGTAGGAAAATGAATTCTGTCTCAGAAGGTTTCTCTCACTTCCAAATTGGCACCACTCTGAACCCTAATGGCATTTTGGCAGCCATGTGAGGCTGATACTGGGTACATGTTGCAAAGTTACTTCAGAAAACAACCTTATTGCACCATTTCCAATTGGGTGAGCATGTGCAGGCAACATTCAGATGCAGGAAGTAGTATGATTACTGTAATGTATATGAGTTTCCAATTTTTATTTGCTGTTAGTCATAGCAAGAACTTCTTCATGCAATTTCACCAATATAATTTTCACTGTGGTGACATTATTGTGCATCATTTAACTGCACATACATTTTTACAAATGTCCTATTCTATCACCCCATTTCACAGTAGAAGGTTCATTGCACAAGTGACTTTTTAAAATTTATTCTGCATCTCATCTCACTTTCATGTGGTTATTATTCTCTTAGAGTCTGTGGCATGGATGGAAAATACTTTTTTTAGCATCAATAATGTGGCATAATTTCTTTGTGTTGATGTCTTATTTAGTGGATTGATATATCTGCCTGATTTTTATTTTAATTTTAAATATGGACTGGGATAGACATGTGCAGGACAATGCCACAAGCAACTCAACTCATATCATGAAAATCACTTATCAGACATCCCTGGCAGGATTTCCCCACCTTCCAAAATTCTTTATCATCTTTATGCACTGCTAGGGAGTAGTGCATGAGTTCTTGGTCCATCCATCACTGTGCATAGGCTTGCCAACCTGATGTGGAGGATGTTATTGAGGTTCGCCTAGTCGTACAATGGGGCATAGAGTAGCTCATGCTTTAATCCTAGGTGGTATTGCCAAGTAGCCAGGTGAACTGTTGGCCAAGAAAAAATTGCTACAGCTGGTTGGGTTTCAGCTTGGACCTCTTTAGGTGGTAGCTTTGAACCATAACCACTGAACTGTGCTGATGTAGTATGTAGTTAAAGAATGGAAATGCTGGAGACGAAACATGCTCCCATTGCAGTTATGTGTGAATTGACTGCCAAAGTGAGTGTTGTGAAAAGTGTTGCTTCATAAAATTATGAATGTGTTTTTGTTTGCAGTGAAGTGTCAAAGACTGACTGTTTTTTCATGACCATTTCTGTCCTTTATAAATTTAAAATTTAGGTAAATGAATCAATAATGAGCAGTAAAGTAAAGCTTGAATCTGGCTTTTACCTGATGTGCAACAAAGCACAATGCAACATCTGTTTCTTTGGTTATACTTTAGTTGTGTTCCTGTTGAGCTGCAAAGCAGGTGGAGTGGGTCTGAACCTAACTGGTTCTTCCCGGCTCATCATGTTTGATGTTGACTGGAATCCAGCCAATGATGCCCAGGCCATGGCTCGAATCTGGAGGGATGGCCAATCAAAGCCAGTCTTCATATACAGGCTAGTTGCATCCTTGTATGGTCCATCCAGCTGGCTTGTCATTGGGAGTGCCCTTTTTCATGTATTACCACTATCCATGAACTGAAATTTCTTGACATGTTATGGCTGCTGACAGCTGTTAACATTCCTTATGCTTCTAATTAGGTATGATTTTTTCTGAACCTAATTCATAAAACTGAAAGTAGATTTGTTATTTCAATTATTCACAGGTAGTGTATACTTGTAATTGTATTTGATTTGCTATTAATTCCCCTCCTATTCAGTTGTTACAGGGGTATCTTTATATTCCTCAGATTGTTGAGTCATAAATCCATGCATGTATGTGTAGGCTTCTGACAACAGGGACAATTGAGGAGAAGATCTTCCAGCGTCAGACCCACAAATTTGGCCTCAATGGGCTCCTTGACTGCCAGACTCCCTCAGCATGTCATTTCACTGCTGAAGAGCTTAAGGTATGGTTTCTTGTTATTCTCCCTCTTTATTGCTTTACAATGTTGGATGCCAGATGGTATTCCAATTGGTATAAAAACCTAAATGCATGTGTATGCATAAATGTGGAGCAATTCATGCTGCAGCAAGGAAAAAAAAGTGAGGGTCAGAGAAACAAGGAGCATGCTCACATTTCCCATTAATGATGAAGTGCATTGACATTGGGGCTCAGGTTGCTTCATTTTTAGTTGCAACTAGCATTTACTTTCATTTAAGTTTCAGTGCTTGTGTACATGCATACCTAAGCCAACTTCATAGGGAGAAGTTCAGCCAAGAGAGGAAAGCCTCTATTCAGATTATGGATGTGGGATTTTCCATAAGGAGACTCTGAAGGAAAGGATGGAGGACTTGACTGACTTGCTGTGCGTTTCTTTTCAGGACCTGTTTGCGCTAGAAGAAGAAAGTGATTGCCTCACGCACAATGGTCTGCAATGTATGTGTCTGTGTGATGGATCTCAGCAAGAAGAGACCTATGAGTCCAAGACGGAAGAAGTGGGTCATCCTCCGAGAGAGCAGGGGCAAGGTCAAGGAGGTCATCTTCCCATTCCCAGGGACCTCTTGCAATGGAGGCATTTCGACCAGAATCATCTCGACCTTCTCCCTGGACCCCATCTCCTGTCTCCTGCTTTTCCTGGCATCTCTTTTGCCTTTCTAGCTCAGTCTCACATTGTGTGATCTTCTATCCCAGCTCATTCTGTGATCAAAGCAGAATCCCTGCCAAGTTTTTCTTCTTGTGATGACCCATAGCACCAAGCTTTTCCCACACATTTGCAGTGCCATCATGGTCCGTGAGTGACGTTATGGACAAATTTATGGACCATGTTGATGCAGCCACGTCCTAGAGTGACCAGTGAGCAGAACTGTATCCAAATCCAAATTTTTTCAAGTAGTTTCCAATAAAATGACCTTTATTCTTACTATAAGAGTCGGCAATAAATGTGGTATATTGAGTAGCTAAGCTCTAAAGATGTACTTATTTCACAGTCTGCTTTGGGAACATTTAGCTTTGGCAGACAAGTCATGGGATCTCTGGCGTCAGCTGACGCCGCGGGTGTCATCATGCACTTCTCGCTTCAGAGTCCAAAATATTGGTCTGAATCAAATTCAATTAAGTATATAGACATTTCTGTCATGCGTACCGGTTTTCTATGAAAAATAAAAACTTGATATGTATCTATTGATGTTTCCATCATTTTTCTGTCTTCATTTTCACCTCTTCTGGTTTTTCATTCCCGTATGTTTCTCGTGCAATCGGTCGCGGCGCCTTCGTTCGTGGACTCATCATCTTAAGGACTCTAATCCATGGACTTCGCGACAGGGATGGCACTTTTCACACCGAATGAAAGTGAGTTGCATTTCTCTCTCTATTCCTCGGATCCCCTCGGACGATGAAAGCCAATTTCTGTCTCGTCTCCCAATGGAACACTGCAGGCTCTTTATTGTCGTTTTCTTATTTTTCTCCAAACTTGCATGTTCTCTCACGTGCCCATGCACATTTATTCGCCGCCGGTCTCATTTTCTTTGTGAACTTTTCTTTTCGCAATCGGGCGGCAGGAGAGGAGCAGATTAACAAAAAAAGTATACGAACATTCAAGTCATTATTCCAGCTTTTCTCAACCGGGAGTCCGTGACGAGGCTAACAGAGGCCCGCGAAACCATCTCCACAGAAATAAATACTGAAGAAAATTTAAAATAAATTTTAAGGAAGATGCACGTCTGTCGAGAGTTGGTTGTAGGCTCGGCAGGAAATGAAACTTACAATAGCACACCCTCACTGTTCGTCTTTTCTCCTAACACTGTATGTTGATAGTTTACCAAATATTGAAGTCGATGAACTCATTTAGTTTATAAATGATAAAAGTCTCTCTTCAAGGAAATGTGTTTCCTATCCCGAAATGACAAGACACAACGAAGGACGAAGTATGGCGTGAAAGTTTATCTATGTCGTTCGACACTTTGCCTCGAGATCGCAATTACTGTTTCGCAAGACGAACTGAAACCTGAAACACATTTCATGTCCGGGAAACGTTCAGCAGTAACGAATACTGGGGTTTCAACATAGCGCATTTGAAAGCCTTTCATAAGGGATTTTAAAGTGGTTGAAAAAAGAAAGCATGTTCAACTACGATTCGAAGCGAGAGAGAATTAGATACATCTAAAAATGTTTGTCGGAGTATATACGTTAACATATTTTTTACTTTTCATTAGTGGAAAATTACGAAATGAAAAGTGGTGAAAATGTGACCTTGCTTCCAGGTCACGAGGCCGACTGGAGGACATTTTGCAACAGACATTTCACATTAGGCATTTCTTATATTCTTCCAGGATGTGCTGGGACGAGACGACCTGAAGAGCCCAGGGGTCCCTATCTCCCAACCCCATTCCACCGTGTCTTGTGCCGATTTCCAGGCTTTTTTTTTTCATATTACTTTTCAGAGAACGCTGCAATTGCGCCACCGGAGCTGTGCTCTCGTCGAAATTGAAACCAGTCACCGTAGATGGCGGTCTCGATTGCTCGTGTTGCCATCTATGGGAGCACTTCAGAGTCCTTTCTATCGTGTGCCCATTCCCTTGATGCACGAGTAAAAAATCGAATGCGAAACGGATCGTTTTGAAGTGAACTCTTGCGAGTGTAACGGTTGTTTTGGTGAAATCTGAAAGGGGAAAATACACCGAAGATTATTCAAATAAAGGTTTGCGTTGAGCTCCACCGGTGTTGCAACTGCAGTCCTCGCGAAATTATTGAAATAAAAATGATTAATATCGAACTTTGACTAGACTGCTGTTTTATTTAATAATTAAAAAGCGGGTAGAGTAGGACACACGGATGAGAAAAAAATGGAAGAGAGCTGAAGCAAAAACCCCTCCTTGGTTTTGGCCGTGGGTCAACCGCAGACGATCTGGTTCCCTGCCCGCTCCCTCCCTCCGGGTTTACCATTAACGTTATCTTACTTTTACGCCCGAGCTTTTATTCTGCCAAATTGTTCCCTTAACGTTACAATTACCTTTATGCCCAGGCGTTTTACTTCTCTGAAGCTGTTCCCGGGGAAAAGAGGAGCCTCGGGGTAGGGATTAGAACCCTCGTCTTTCGAATGCAGGTCGATAACGTCAAACACGGAGAACCTGAGCTCCGACGCTATACTCCCACGGCCACCAAGGAGTACAACATAGTAGTGTTCTTTCAGACCTATTCGAATGTATTCCCGAGCGACCGAGATGGGATGTGACGCCCGCTCCATCCCCACGTCATCCTCGTCGTCTGCCTGGATGCACGACGGTGCATCTACGTTTAGTACGTACTATCATCGCCTCGAGAACCTTTCGATTCGTCATCTGAAAGTATCTTCACACGAAAATCACACTTTTTCTGAGGAATGAACTTTATTTTTCGAAAATCTCACATAAAACCACTCAAGACCGCTTAAAACATGGCCAACCGCCTCCAGTAAAGAAAAGAACCATAACTTGAGATGATGAGTTCGTTTCTACGACACGCACACCTGAGGTCTTGCGAAGCTGCTCATATGACTTGAACAGATTCCCTTGTTTCTGTGAGAGGAATCCGAGTGGAAGGTGGGGCATGGGAGGCAACCCCTTCCTTCACCCCTCGGAAAAAAAAAATCTTCACCGAGAAAGCGAGGATGAAAGAGCCAGTCAGTCGTGAAAATTCACTTCTAAACCTTTCCCGCGAACATCGTCGAAAGCTTCGAGAGCACACGAACAAAATTGAGGACGATCTTTGTGCTGCTTTTTTTAGTGGGCCTCCTTTCCTGAAAGGAAAGTTCAATTAAGTGAAAAAATGAGAGTTTCCTTAAACTTAACTGGAGGCCCACTACTGGACTGGGCTTGCTCAACTTATTTTTAAAAGAACGGGGCAACAATGCTCCTTCCGGGAACTGAGTCCTTTCCCGCATTCATTTCGAGAAATGCAGAGCGGGAGAAGATAGAAAACCGAATGCGAATAAAACATTGCCTAGGGTGCCACGAGAAGATATAAGAAAATCATTTTCGTACTGTCGTAATTATGACTCACACTTAGCTTTACCACGATTGTACGGCTCGTATTTCCCTTTTTTCATCAACGGTGACCACACATCGAGGTCTTTCCTGACAATGCAACGACTCACTCCTCAATTGAAGTAAAAAACAGAATGAAGCATTAGAGTTTTTTATTTTAAATTTTCATTCTAATCGGCCAGATCAGCGTCAGAGATCTATCGAGCACAAAACGTTTCTTTTCCCCTCTTCCGTACACATGATACACATTTTCATTCCCCCATCCTATCTTGTGGAGCCGAGACGGAGACGGCGCTCGACTACGAGCAAGCTTCTAGAAGTCGGAGACGCGTCCCTTCCTCTCCCAGTCGCCGTACCGAGTGGGCTCGGGGGCTCGGGGTCCTCCGATCTCTCCAGTCTCGGGATTGTATCCCAGCGGCCATTCTGGCAGCGGCTCCTTCTCCTGGTACGGGTGGCGATCCGACTCCGGTTCGTCCAGTCGACCGATCGGCGTCTTCGCCCTTCTGCACTTATCCTTCTCTTCCACGACTCCCTCCTTTCCTCCTTCTCCTCCCGAGTGAGCGAGTCTCGGTGTCCATTTGAAGAGGTCTGTGGGAGAAAATTCCCCACCGTACACTAAAAAATAATGGTTCGGACTAGAACCCTCAGCTTTCAGAGCGGTTTTCGCTGATCGAGAAACCATTTGGAATGGTTTAAAGTTCACTTCAAAAACTATTTGACACAATGACGCATAATAATAACTTGGTAGCTCTTGAACTAATAAGGATGGGGCTCGGCAAGAATCTAGGTTTTGTGATCCCTAGAACCATTTTTTCATGATCTTTGCTCAATAGTTATTCGTGGGAGTGATCATATGAATGTCTTAGATCGTAGAATTTATCATCTGCCGTGTCAAAGTCCTCAGATCCTGGTAACTCCAAGAGTAAAGCAGTTTCAGCTCGTGTAGGTTCGATTCCCCGGAAATGGTTCTATACATGTTTAATCGAAAATGGTTCCCATCCGAACCTTTACTTTTAGAGAGTAGAACCGTTTTTCACTAAATGTGCATAATAGTTACCAGTTGGAGTGATCGTCTGACTGTCCTAGGTCGTAGCGTTCATGTTCTGCCTTGTTAACGATCTAAGATCGTAGTAGCTCCTGGAATCAGTATCATCTCTTCAACAAAAATGGTTCTATAAAAGTTTCACTCTAGAACCTTTATTTTTTACAGTGTAGTGGGAGGAAGACGGTTTCAACTATCGCTTCCAGATGCTTTATGTCATCGTCCGAGTTTTCGTCATCGCAGTTCTCGTGAAAGACGAATCGGTGAGCTTGCCTCGTTCGCTTTGGGCGTACAATATGAATACCGCCTTAACACCCAATCTCCAGCTAAATCAGTCCAGTATAGAGAGTTGACCCAAAACGAACGAGATCCGGAATGCGGGTTATTCTTTAGTGATATATAGGGTGACCGGAAAGTTCGGAGACACAAAAATACCAATATCTTGATGCAATGAAGAGCAAGAATACTTTTCTTTATTTCATTAGAAAGAGCATTTAAAAAATCTTCAAAATGAGTTAAACATCTTCGAAATAGCCCCCATTGGCAGCAATAACTTTTCTGAGGCGTTTTGAAAATTGTCCAGTTTCTCACAGTTCTCAGTTCACAGTTCGCCAATGAAACCTGGCATTTCAAGTTAATGTTTTATTGGTCTAGAAGATTGGCCCTCCTGCTTCCCTGATTTAAATCCGATGGACTACAGTATCTGGTCTTTTCTGGAGGCAAAGGTCAGTGCTATACAGCATAAAAATATGGACAGTCTCAAGGTGGCTTGATAGAAGGCGTGGGACGAAATCCCTGTAAAACAACTATGAGAAACCGTAGACAATTTTCCAAAACGCCTCAGAAAAGTTATTGCTGCCAATGGGGGCTATTTCGAAGATGTTTAACTCATTTTGAAGATTTTTTAAATGCTCTTTCTAATGAAATAAAGAAAAGTTTTCTTGCTCTTCATTGCATCAAGATATTGGTATTTTTGGGTGTATCCGAACTTTCCGGTCATCCTGTATGTCAAAATATTCCGCTTCTTTCCAGGAATGTCAAGAACCATCGCTTACGAATTACTTCTAAGTCATTTTAGAGAAAAAAAAAATTTTTTTTTCAAGGATAGGGAGGGATAATCCCTTCACAAATCCCACTCATGGTCATGGGTGCTGTAAAGTAGTATACAGGGTGAACCATAATATCTCATACAAAGACTTTTGGTTCGTGAATATAGCTTTAGGGACAGAGGCGTCAGATTTTGAAAATATAAATTATTACTACATAAACTTCACCTATAATTTATTGAAAATAATTGAAAAGAACCCCCTTTGGCCTCCACACAGGCTGACAATCTACCTCGCCAGCTTTAGATTGCAGCACGCGCCTCTACCATCGGGAGATTGCTCCACGACTTCACAAGGAAACGCTTTAGAGACTCCCCATTTGGATGATTCCTAGTACAAACCATCCGCTCCAACTTGAACCAAACATAGTAATCCAGCGGATTGAGATCGGGAGAGGAGGCAGTGCTGAATCCTGCTAGAACCACATTCCTCGTTTTTGAACAAATCATGGGTCAGGGGTACACATGAGGCTCAAGGTCTGCCACAACACTCTCCTTACGAATTTTTACCCCTTGATTCACAAAACCAAGGAAGTCTTGCCCGTGGCAGACACTCCAGTCCAAACCATCAACGACGCTAGATGATGTGATCTCTGCATCTTGTTCAAACCCTCAGGCAATTCCTTGACACGCGAAAGGTCGCGGAAGAGTGCTGTGAGTTGGGTTTTCATCATTACGAATGTCTTTCGTGTATCTCTGTGATACAATACTATCACACCCATGACCGAGCACCAACCTTTCCTGGCTTCCACCTCTTCAATCTCAACTATTGGGGTGATTTCGACAAGGAAAACACCATAGTAACGAGGAAACCCAGAACAACTATTTGGCTTATTCTGAATTGAAATAAAACAAATACCCAATGAGGTCGTTGGGGGTTTCAGCTATGGGTCATGTCAGCCATGTCAGATCGACCAATTTTCTCATGATTTCATGGTCGACCATTATCGATTTGGCTGAAATTTGGTGAGGAGGTAGCGTTTGACCCAAAAACGGGAAATCCAAAGTAATTTTTTTTCCTCTGACCAATGGTGTGTCCGTGGTGAGGTCACAAAATGTTGACCTATTTTAGCTGGTCCGGCTGACCTCTATCAGACTTTCTTCAATAACTCCTTAGCTATTTGTCATAGAATGTTCATTTAGGACTCCTTTTAAAGGTCTCTTTTAGCTCTATCTTGAAAATGTATTTCAAGCTAATATTCATGTATACTCATTTTCTATAAAAATTCGAAGGCGTTTGACCTTTGACCCTTCATATAAAAANACGCATAATAATAACTTGGTAGCTCTTGAACTAATAAGGATGGGGCTCGGCAAGAATCTAGGTTTTGTGATCCCTAGAACCATTTTTTCATGATCTTTGCTCAATAGTTATTCGTGGGAGTGATCATATGAATGTCTTAGATCGTAGAATTTATCATCTGCCGTGTCAAAGTCCTCAGATCCTGGTAACTCCAAGAGTAAAGCAGTTTCAGCTCGTGTAGGTTCGATTCCCCGGAAATGGTTCTATACATGTTTAATCGAAAATGGTTCCCATCCGAACCTTTACTTTTAGAGAGTAGAACCGTTTTTCACTAAATGTGCATAATAGTTACCAGTTGGAGTGATCGTCTGACTGTCCTAGGTCGTAGCGTTCATGTTCTGCCTTGTTAACGATCTAAGATCGTAGTAGCTCCTGGAATCAGTATCATCTCTTCAACAAAAATGGTTCTATAAAAGTTTCACTCTAGAACCTTTATTTTTTACAGTGTAGTGGGAGGAAGACGGTTTCAACTATCGCTTCCAGATGCTTTATGTCATCGTCCGAGTTTTCGTCATCGCAGTTCTCGTGAAAGACGAATCGGTGAGCTTGCCTCGTTCGCTTTGGGCGTACAATATGAATACCGCCTTAACACCCAATCTCCAGCTAAATCAGTCCAGTATAGAGAGTTGACCCAAAACGAACGAGATCCGGAATGCGGGTTATTCTTTAGTGATATATAGGGTGACCGGAAAGTTCGGAGACACAAAAATACCAATATCTTGATGCAATGAAGAGCAAGAATACTTTTCTTTATTTCATTAGAAAGAGCATTTAAAAAATCTTCAAAATGAGTTAAACATCTTCGAAATAGGCAGCAATAACTTTTCTGAGGCGTTTTGAAAATTGTCCAGTTTCTCACAGTTCTCAGTTCACAGTTCACCAATGAAACCTGGCATTTCAAGTTAATGTTTTATTGGCCTAGAAGATTGGCCCTCCTGCTTCCCTGATTTAAATCCGATGGACTACAGTATCTGGTCTTTTCTGGAGGCAAAGGTCAGTGCTATACGGCATAAAAATATGGACAGTCTCAAGGTGGCTTGATAGAAGGCGTGGGACGAAATCCCTGGAAAACAACTGTGAGAAACCGTAGACAATTTTCCAAAACGCCTCAGAAAAGTTATTGCTGCCAATGGGGGCTATTTCGAAGATGTTTAACTCATTTTGAAGATTTTTTAAATGCTCTTTCTAATGAAATAAAGAGAAGTTTTCTTGCTCTTCATTGCATCAAGATATTGGTATTTTTGGGTGTCTCCGAACTTTCCGGTCATCCTGTACGCCAAAATATTCCGCTTCTTTCCAGGAATGTCAAGAACCATCGCTTATGAATTACTTCTAAGTCATTTTAGAGAAACTTTTTTTTTTCAAGGATAGGGAGGGATAATCCCTTCACAAATCCCACTTATGGTCATGGGTGCTGTAAAGTAGTATACAGGGTGAACCATAATATCTCATACAAAGACTTTTGGTTCGTGAATATAGCTTTAGGGACACAGAGACGTCAGATTTTGAAAATATAAATTATTACTACATAAACTTCACCTATAATTTATTAATGTTGAAAAGAACCCCCTTTGGCCTCCACACAGGCTGACAATCTGCCTCGCCAGCTTTAGATTGCAGCACGCGCCTCTACCATCGGGAGATTGCTCCACGACTTCACAAGGAAACGCTTTAGAGACTCCCCATTTGGATGATTCCTAGTACAAACCATCCGCTCCAACTTGAACCAAACATAGTAATCCAGCGGATTGAGATCGGGAGAGGAGGCAGTGCTGAATCCTGCTAGAACCACATTCCTCGTTTTTGAACAAATCATGGATCAGGGGTACACATGAGGCTCAAGGTCTGCCACAACACTCTCCTTACGAATTTTTACCCCTTGATTCACAAAACCAAGGAAGTCTTGCCCGTGGCAGACACTCCAGTCCAAACCATCAACGACGCTAGATGATGTGATCTCTGCATCTTGTTCAAACCCTCAGGCAATTNTACTGCAGCTGTATTGACCGGTTTGAGACAAAATGTGATCCAGCATTGCTTCACTCTGGGAACATGACAGACGCCTTACACACTGAGTTACTACATTCCCAGCCAAACTCTCATTGAAGATGCTAGTCAGATGAGGACTGACACTACACTGCCCAACAGTTTAATCTATTAGTCCATGGAATGGAAATCATTTTTGCGATATTGACAGACTCACAAAAAAATCAGTCCTGAAACTTTATTGCCACACCTCGTAGGTGCGCTCTTGAACTTACTGAGAATCGGGAAGCAGTTGAAAGGGACAGAAAATAAAAACCGTTTTTGGGTCAAACGCTACCTCCTCACCAAATTTCAGCCAAATCGATGATGGTCGACCAAAATCTCTGGTCGATCTGACGTGGAATGACCCCTATGCAAAATGAGGAATTTATCCTGATTCGGCCAGAGATTGGGTGTTAAACATCGATGTTGGACTCTCATCTGCATCTGAGAAATAGGAGGCAAAAAACAGGATTATTTCTTGCCTAGCCTGATCTTAATTTCAGAGGAAGGTATAACTGAAACCTGGCCTTTCTGTCCTGCATATGGCAGTAGCGCATGTGGATCCATAAAATGTTGACACATGTCGTATTGACCGTCATCCACACGCGAATAGTGAGGCCACCGTGTTAGACGCAATTTTATATTTTATATCCAAGATGGCATTATCTCCCGATATCGGTGTAGGAGTGAAACAGAGCGTTGTCATGATAACAATAACGATAATAATAGTAAAACCTAATAAAATTCACAGGAGGGTCGCAGAACGGTACGATGACACGATCATGAGCAGTTTTCACGATTTTAGAACGGGAGACAGCGTCGGCCCGGCACCGTCCGCAGCGTCCACACCGAACATCACAGGTCTCAACGCGTCAATTGTGGCAGATTCTCAAGTAAAGAGCAGGAAATTGCACTTAAGTTTTCGATAAGCATAGTACTCGAGCTGATTTAGTCATTCTTGAGGATTTATGTGGAAAAAGGATGTTTGCACAAATGATAAGTGTTGGCAGATGGCGGAAGGCGAGTGGCGCTATAACGGGGGATCGCCTATTATAAGCATTTGGGGAAGATTTGTTCACAGGAAAGCGCTGGCGGAAAACGAAGTTGGCGGTATACAGCGTATCAATATATCGAGGGTTGACAGTACGCGGTATGGGATGCCTTGTTAGCATGGACAGCCCGCCGATCTCTGGTGTCCACCAGGGAGTCCACTTCGTGTTACCATGTTACTTCGCTTCGCTTTCCGCCACAATCTTTCACCGGTGGAAGCAGGAACTCCAGATCGAAATAGGTCCCATTTGATCTCTACGTCAGATATCATCCTAGGCAGCTGGGTATAATTTCCACGAATCGCTGATGCCAACTCATCGCATCGCTTCGTGCTTCCCACCTCGCCCACATTTGGAGTTTCCCGAACTGCTGATGCTCAGTCCCACGCTCAATCCTAGTATCGGTTACCAAATTCCATAAGTCAGCCGAAACGATCACAAAGTCGACCAGTCGATCCAGCTGTATATATTTTATTCTAGGGGATTGGTTTATAGCAGTGGTCGGCAGGCAACTGGCGGTCCGCGGAAGCCCTCCCTCTGGCCCGCAAAGACCCGGATATCGGAAATTACGATCTGACAATAGACGTTCAGCTGCACGTTTGACATGAGACGTTTGATACAATTTTCATTTTAATGACACATTGGTAGGAGCTGGCTCGCGAACGTTCAGCACTCTGCCATCCGGCCCGCCGTGAAATTTAGTTGCCGACCACTGGTTTATAGGGTGGCTTTTTCCAAAACTTTCCTAGAAGTTGCCCATCAAGTTGGTATAATGATCGATAAATGGTATAAAACAGATATTAGCCAATAGGGCTGCAAATCATGTTAGGTCATGCCAATTTATTCCTCTTGGACCACCTACACTAACCCCACCAACTGTGAGGGCATGAAGCTAATTCTGTTCCATGATGCAAATCATGGCATGCACCTTCAAAATAACGATATACCTCTTCCTTTTATCACCTACTGACCTCAGTCCAAATGTAGAGTTAGGGGTGTTTGCATAAAAACAATGATTTTCTCGCCTTTCCCACTGATTAGACACTTCACCAAAATGGCGTCTTCATGAAAGATGGGACAGTTAATTTCTTTATAGATGCCACACTTTCAACCTCGTCATTCAACTTTTTACTCAATATATAAACCCCCAGACTCACTTTGGAAGATGAACAGGCGATTTCGTGCAGGGAGATAGATACTCATGATTCCTAGATAGATAAGAAAGGGCAAGGGAACAATCAATTTTAGTCCATACAATGAATGAGAGATGATAGTGAATAAATGACATCTGTCAGGTTTTTTCAATTTCTGATGTTATTCCCAATAGACGGACAAGCAAAGTTTGGGAAGACTGGGAAGGTTTTCAAGCAGACAAACTTGAGTGAATTGCTCACTCCCAATATGGCATCATGAGTCAGACAAGCTGTGCTTGATGTGCACAGCCAGGGAAACGTCAATTCCAAATCCACAAAAGAAAACTACCCTTTGATAATTTAATAAACTTTTATATTGCAATGACATGCATAGTATCAGAGAAAGAGAGAGAGAGTGAAACAGCAGAATGGAGAAATAAGTGGAAGGTCATGTTGGGGGATCCAGGTCAGAGAAGTGGAGGTCAGGGTCATCAGGGGGCAATCCCATGGCATTCCAGAAGGCAAGGACAACTTTTTCCGCATAAGCCTTGCGTTCTTCACTTGGTAGTTCCTGGCACCGCTCCTTCATTTCCCTCAAATTCATGAAAAGGTTCTCAAAGGATCCCTCACTCCTTTCTGCTGCATTCAAGTTTAATGCCTCCAACTGGGCTGCCACTATCATAAACATGAAAAAAGAAGAATCATATACAGTGGTACCTCGCATAACGAATGCAATTCGTTCCAGCGGTGCGTTCGTTATGCGAGGTGTTCGCGAGTGAAAGTGAAACATTTTTTCCTAATTTCCTTGATTTTTCGCGGCGACGTGGAACGNAAAGTGAAACATTTTTTCCTAATTTCCTTGATTTTTCACGGCGACGTGGAACGGATTACATGATTTCCCATAGAAGTCTATGGGAAATCGTGTTTAGCATAATGAACGCACCGCAGGAACGAATTGCGTTCGTTATGCGAGGTACCACTATAATTTGATAGTCTTTTCATGGCATAACCTTTCTTCATGGTCTTCTTGCATCACACTTTGTCTGTTGGCCCAATAGGAACCTTCAGAAACTATGACCTAATGATACCAGAAACAGAGAACTTGCCTTCTTTCTCTCTATGGGCCTGAATGGATGCCATTGCCTCTGCTTCTTCCTTTCCCTCTGTTGATTCTGCCTTTTTTTGTTCTCCACCTATGTTACAGTCTTATATGAGCACTTTGCAGGATGTTTCCATTCCCTTGCACATATTTATATCTTATGTATGAGTACACACCCATTTTCATTTGCAGATTAGGCCAAATGTGGGCATTGAGGGCTTGGAATATCCTGGGGATTCCACAACTCCCTTGGAATAACCCTTCTTCAGCATCTTCAACTTCATCGTTGTCTGCTGAAGGGGCAGGATCCAGTTCCACCAACTCAAATCCATTCCTTATGCACCACTCCTGGGCTATAGACCAGAAGAAGATCAATGCTGTATTCTAGGGATCCAATAATAAGCATACATTTAGTAATTCCCTTAGAAAGAGAATGAGGCTGACATCGAATGATAGAAACAGACTTGCATCCTCCTGCAATGAATTTGACAGTACTCAACATTCATAAAGAACATTGGGACAAGCCACCACCTAAGGGTGTGCTAACATGATTTCAGACTCAACTCAAAATGACTGAGACAGACTAATAGAAAAAGAAACAATGGCAGCAGTCAACAGTTGTCTCATCTAGAAAGTGCTTAGATGTATAAAGTTGTTTCTCAACTCTCTGGTGATAGCCAGAGTATGACAGGCACTCAAGGTATAGAAAGATGTGCAATCCTTGTGTAACTGATAGCCCTACCATTCTGTTCATTCACTCATTCACAGCCTTCATTGAATGAGATAAAACAAGGAATAGATGGGGACAACAAGGTCATAAAACTTGTCAGCATTAACACACCTGTTCTACTGTATCTGTTTCAAAAGTAAAAGTCTCATCTTGTTGTGTTAGACCTTGTCCTTGTCTATTCTGTTTAGTCTGAAAAAGTGTGATGCAGTCAATAAGATGGCAGAGTCTAGCCAAAAAGGACCTCTCCCTTCTGTTAAAATCCTGTACAGGGTAACCCAAAAGTCAGTTGTTATTGGATTGTATATTATCTAGGTATTTTCTGTTTCAGATTAGGTTGATTATTAAGGAGAGGGTGGAAGTGATTCTGCTTTGCATTGATAACCCATTATCTGGGGAAAAATATAATATAATTATCTAAAAAACATTGAGTTGAATTTTAATATTTTCCTTAATATGTTGAGTATGGCAGCTGACTTTTGGGACACTCTTTAAAATTTCTTTAAAAATTCCAAATATTTATTAAAGAAAGGTTTTGCATAAGTGTGTGGCTAAATTTTCACAATGGCTAGCTGCAGACATACAACATGAAAAATACTTTTTCAGATGCTATTCTTCCAACCTCATGATCAACACAAACAATAATTGCAATTTGCATTGATTGTCAGATGCTAGGAGCTCTTCATCAGTATTCAATCATGCAGATGAATGTATGAATCTGAGAACTAAAGAAGGGATGCCAAAAACCATGTCTGTCAGACATGAATTTGGATTTCAAAGAATTCAACTGACCAGAGAGGAGACTAATGCCAGTCTCTTCATGCTCCTGCCTACATGAATCACAGACAAGAATCTGTACATCAGGTTCAAACTGCTTCGTGAAGGCCAACCATTGCTCAGCCTCCTCCAATCCCTTTGACTGGCAACATAACAACATTGATAATCAATTGTGAACATCATGATTGAAATTAAGACGAAGACAAATCATTCAAATACCAAAAAAATTTTTCAGACACCTGCTTACATGTGAGTTGTCAAAGTGAATGAGAACAGCCTGAACAGCATCAGCAAATTCTTCTGTGGCCAGCGTCTTGTGATCGGCCACACACAGGTGGATCTCAGCTGAGTAGTATTTGTTGTCTAGGGTCCAAGGGTATGCATGGATTCCCTCACATACCTCTATGGATGCTGGCAAGCTCTCCTTAATAATGGCTGCAAAAGACAAACAGCACATGCATTTGGAGCAATAAGTTTTATAAAATCATGGAAGTTTCACAGATGCACAAACAAAAGTGAATATAAAAATATGAGGTGAATTCTGATCCCCATGAATTCTGAGCACTGATTTTCCTAGTTAACTTCTGTAGAGAAATCAATATCATATTTGATAATTGACAAAAAGAAGTCTTCTGCCAATGAACACCTTGGGTCATGGAATTCAGGGGGACTGGGTATGAGGGATTCACATAACCCATCAACAAGACAATTTTGTAGACTAGATGAGAATAGGTTGCAGTTCTTTCCCCAATCAATTATGCATTAGTTTGTTGGAGAAGGACCCCTAAGATCAGTAACTGAAGTCAAAATCTTTGCACTCAAACATCAGGAAAATATGAAAAATTATTGCTCAGGATTGATGGAATAATCTTTCAAACGAAAGTAAAGAAAAGACATGAAAGAAAAATCTCTTAAGACATATACCAATGAAAAGATTTTAAAACAAGGCGCAAACGAAAGTGCATTCCATCCATTTGAGAAGATGACCAGAGAAACCCCACCTTTCAAGACATCACAGGCAGGACGGGCAGAACTGCCAGCAATGAATGCACAGGGAAGCATCTTTCCCTGTTTCTTCTCTTTTTCTCCTTACTGCAATTGCATATGAATTCTAAAAGATACAGTGAAAATGGGAAAAAAAGTGGCTGAGAAGAACTAAAGCACTGACTTCATGTTGTCAACAAAGAACATGTAATGGAATTCCTCTTTGTCGGCAGCAGGGCCGATACCAAGTCCAAGATAGGACTGGTCTCAGATACAAATCAAGTTCAGTCTAAAGGATTAAAATACTTCCAGGAATATCTAGAAAATAGAAAAACAGTAGAAATCGAAATTATGAGGGAAAATCTTGATGGCTTCAGCAAATGAATTCACAGTCTGACATTAGCGTGCTCATATGAAAAAGGAATTGAAAGTTTCAATACCAGCTGAGACATCATACAAACACTCAAGCAGATCCTTGCTCAGTCACAGAAGGAACCTATTAATACATTAAACAAGAGTTTAAAAAAGTTTCAAGCACAGAGTGCAGGCTAGACAAGTTTGGAGAGGCAGAGGGCATCCTGAAGCATGAAATCCCTAAGGGCCCAAAGGGCATTGACAACATTCCCGTGATTCCCGGCGCCATTCCTCAGCCAGTCAGTAGGGAGTCGAGATGGGTCAGGAGGATTCAGGTATTCTGGAGGGAGATTCCAGCTTGGTGTGAGGAGCCGGTCCCAGTCCGACATTGGCTTGTTCTCTGAGGACAGAGACTCTATGTACCTGATGAAGATGAGAAGACAAAATTAAGCATAACTGATCTACAATGGCAGCCAGAAGAAGGATGAATGACTCAACCTGATGTATGCTTCAGTGTGGAGGAGGCGATTTGGTCTGGGAGGAGTGACAAAAAGGGGCTCAGTTGGCTTCGCAGTGATGGTCATCCCTCCGTTGCTATATGTGCTCATCCCTGTCATTAACACAATTAAACACCTTCATTAGTTTCATTTTCCACTAGTTGCATTATGACAATTCAACTTTCATCAAGCATCCATTCCAGGTCCAGTCTTCAGCAACATGAAACCACAGTATGGTGATGTGCTTTGGGCTTGTGCATGTGCATAAAATTACAATACTAGAGGTGAAAACATCATTCAACAATTGACAATGGAATGAACTTCGTGAAATATACTTCAATAATATCCCATCACCAAAGTAAAAAGAAAATCAGGCAGCAATTCTGAGAAAAGAAAGGGAGAAACAAAAATGTTAGGGTCCATGTTCAGATAAAATCATGAGTACTGCAAACAAGCTACAAAGGATAGGTGTAATGAAGAGAATTGAAGAGAATGCCCTGCATGGCACCATATGGTTATGAAGTACTGAAAGCTCATTGGTTTGATCATTTTTGTTCCTGAAACAATAGAAATACTGCTTTACATTCCACAACTGAGAATGGAAATAAGACTAGAATGGGGAATACAAGGATATCATGAAATACAGTTACATGCAGACTGGCAATGACATGTAATAACTAATTTCAGTTGGGGACCAAGGAGGAGTTAGAACGTGTGCAGGGAATCCAGTGATAGTGTGTTAAAAAGAGACCCAGAGGGCCCCAGGGGCCAAGACCAAGGGCTACAAGGGTACTCACCAATGCCTGGTACAGCTGAGGCCACTGTTTGACATGGCCATGTTCCCATGGAAGCCCCAGTCCCACTCCCAACTGACATTGAACATGTTTTTTTTTTCATTTAGTTTTCATAAAAACATAAGGCAAATCATAAAAATCAGTAAACAAAATGAGAAATGAAACTTGGGAGCAAGCGCAGAATTGAATATCAATTCAACAAAGCCATGAAATTATTCATAAGTAATTATAAGAGTCAACTTTACAGCACTTACCATTTCCATTGACTGAGAACCCATTCAAAGCACTACTAATCCCATTCCCTTGGTGTGGTGGCTGCTGATTCAGGTTTTTCCTGGAAAAAAACAAGTCTCATTCATGAAGGATAAAGACTAGGAAAAAAATAAACATTTTATAACAATGCACTTGCTTTTCATTGTGGAGGGGGACCTTGCGACCTTGATTCTTAGTGATATGGACCTCCTTGACATGACGGACAAGACGGGCATGATTGGGGAATGGAGGAACGTGCTTCTTCAATCGACCACAAGTCTTCCACATGCACTGTGCTGACTCCACCTTCTCTGTCATTGTGAAATCAGCAAGCTTACAGTCAACATTACTTGTGTCTTGCATAACTCAAACAGTCAAAGAAAGTATCTAACAAGTAGCTGAGAGGCAAGGGAAAATACAATATGCAATTACAAGAACAAAAGAAACCACAAGCTAGCCAAATTTTGAAATTGTAGTCTGTCCAGAGTTGAAATAGCTAGCTAGTAAAGTGACAAGTCTTCAACAAGCTGGGAGGCAATGTGATAGACTGCTAATGGAAACTAAATGCCAGCAATGAGTAGAGTAGCATTATCCAGTTGAAACTGGAGTGCAGGTTGGCTTCAGTAGTGGACATTTCATATAAAAGTGAAACAACATGGACAAGTTATAAAATATTGTAAAAGGTCTTGTAGCTGGTAAAAGTTTATAGTTTAACCAGAGGCTTAACTTATCAGTTGTGAACAAGGAGTAATTGGGACATCAGTTTAATACTCCACAAAGCCAATTTCTAAATCCAGCACTTTCTTTAATTAAAAATGATTGAATATTCATATTATGATATTTGGAATTTTAGAACCCTACCAAAATGTCACTAGAAATTGGGGGCAGTTTCAATTCTAGTTAAACCAGTCAAAATTTCAGTAACTCCCAGAATTAATTTTGATAATGGTATGGCTTCATGATTCCATATTCATGTTCTGAATGAAGTTTCTGGATCCAATAGAAGTTTCAACAGGAGTTTATAATCATATGATATACATCAACTACCAGAAAAATAATTTTCCTCAAAAACAGTACATTTTGAAATGGTATGATATATCAAGTAAGCTTAATGATTAATATGTCATCATTTGGCATGAGTAAGAGAAAATGTTCCTGAGATTTAAACTGAATATGTATGAAGACAAACCAGGTTCAGGGAAGCTGAGGAAAACATGGCCATGGGTCTCAGCAATGAGATGATCAGTGAGTTCAGCAATGTCTGTAAATTGCTGGTCACACTTGTCCCAGTGACAATCATAGATCACCTCATGTGTTGGATCAGCAGGTGATCCAGTATTTCCATAAGCATTTTCCTGCTGTGCCAATAAAACTGCGGCTGCATTCTCCTCATTGATTTTTGCAGCTCGCTCTTCATACTCCTTTTTCGTTGAGTCTGGCAGGTTCCTCCACTGCAAAAGCATATTTGTAGAGTGAATTTCTGTAGAGCCTGCAGCACTGCATGAAAAATCCAGCTTGAAGAGTAAACCAAAAAAAATGATACACAGAAGAAATAACTCAAGGGCTCCTTGCAGAACAAAAAAAATCCACTAACTTCCATGGGTGATGGTAGGATCTTTGGACTAATTAGAAATTTCTTATGACTAATTTGGACTAAAAAAATGTAAACTTAATTTTTAACTTCCACACATGATTTTGGAAAGCCACTCAAGAAGAAAGATGCACGAGTCCTAGCACTATCTCATATGGAACCATTCAATTTACATTATTTGCATGCAGGGTAGAGCAGTCAACTATTTGGCACTAGCCTTCTCATCTCCACTGCATTTTAGCTAAACCTGATGATCACTAAGAGCAAGAATGGGTACTTACATCATTGCCAACAATGCGGGAGATCTCGCCAAAGCTGGAGGTAGGATACTTCTCAGCAACACTGCGACGGATTTCACTTGAGTAGATAATGTATCCTGTGACCTGCTTTCGCTGAGGCTGCTTTGGCTGGAAATAAAAATGTAAAAAATGTAGAAGGATTTCAAGAACAGTTCCTACATATATACTTTCCATAATTATTCTACTCAACTATGAAGTCAATGAAGATCAACTATGAAGTCAATTGGGAAATTTCACCAATGGCTGGAAGTCAAAGATGAAAGGTGAATGGTTACATTTTCCCTTCAATGGTGGGGGGGGGGGGCAACTCAAACAATCAAATAATGTTGTATCCATGGAGGTGAATCTATGAAAATACCCCAAGTTCCCAGATCAGATCAGAGTACATCAGATTACATGCCAATGTTGTCAACATTATTGAGGTTATTTTCATTATTCCTGTCTAGTTATTTGAAAAATGAAAAAAAAAGTTGGCAAAGAAAACCAGCTTGCTTGAACCTTTTTGGAAGTGGGTGGTATAACCTATTCCAATGTATCATCATTATCACAGTTTTATTAATGCTTTTGCTCCAGAGGGTGTGACAGAAGTTTTTTTAAGTCTGCAAAAAAAAGTTTATAACTTTGGAACACAAAATGAGACTTACTCTTTTTTAGAAGTTGAAGTATAAGGTCTCTATTTTATTGTGGAAAATTACATAAAAATTTGAAAATTTTAAAGGATGTACTATTGCATCCACCATAGTCTGATGCTAGTTAGGACTAGACACGTATTTATGTCCATTGGATCAAAAGTGTTAATCAAAAGGAATCATCAGAGGCTCAATCTAGTGAGATAAGTGTCAAGTGTGATAAGTTTCCAAAGATATCTTTTACATCTTGTGTAACTAATGTGAGGAAGTGGGCGAAATGGCAATCACTGAGATATGATCTTAGTACTGAGGTGTGAGGGCAGGCTTTCACAAAATCTCCTCCCTGAATGCATGAAATAAGAGCTTTCAGATCCAAATTTTTCCCTGGAAGAAGGTGCATGAAGTAGGATGAAACCAATCTGTGAAAGCTAGAAACCCTTTTGCATATTCTACTATACAGAAATCCTTTATGGATGAGCAAGAAGACTCATGGATGAGAAAAAGGAATGCTAGCAGAAGGATTTACCTGGTTCACCTTCTTGGCAGAGGACTGAGGATTGGGAGTGGAGGGCTGAGTCAGGCTTCCACTCAATGGGGTATGGACCAAGGTATCAGTGGATCCCACTGATGGGGCAAGGGCACCATCCAGAGAATCCTCCATGTCAAGCAAACTCTCCTCATTTGTTCCAACTCCAGAAGCCAGCATTCGCTCAAATTCCTGGCCATGAATCCCATGAGGATTGTGGGCATGGGGCCCCTGATGCTGTTGCTGCTGCCCATGGGCTGGATACATCTCTCCAGTAACTATATCCACCTGCAATAACAACAACTTCACAAATTACAAGAGGGAATTTAGATATGCAACTTATGGTATATAACTATAATAGCCTACAGGGTGCCCCAAAAGTCTGGACCCATATTTTGTGCTGCTATGTGGCTGGGAAGATATTAGTAAAATGAGTGTAGCTCAGCTTTTAAAAAAAAACATCCCAACAGAACACCGTGAAGCTATTGCCGATGAGGTGATGCAGATGTTTAACCCCTTAACCCTTTCCCCTCATTTGCTGAGCTGGGCTCACCATCAGTTGTAGTGTTGTGGAAAAAATGGAGTGGAAAGGGTTAAGTGTTTCAAATCTGGTAGCTAAGTTTAAACTCAAAAGATTCTAAACACAGCATCTGAAGAACCACATGCTTGAGGAGTGTGAGCAAATATCCTTGGAAACAATTACTAATGTGGAAGGAAGCTGGATCAAACAGATGCAGTTATGCTTAAAAAAAGAAGGAGGGTATGTTGAAGCAGTGAGGTGAACAATGGATCCAGATACTTAGGACACCCTGTAGAGCTTCAAAATCTGAACAGATGGCAAATCTTCAGGATAGTCCTGATTGTTAATGTATAAGAAATTTCCAAAAAAAGTGGCTATTACTACAGGATGAGAGGGAGGCTCAATCAATGGAAACCCAGTACATGCAAATGAGGGCAAAGGCTACTGAAGTACATAGAGAATTCATGGTTAAGAAAGTCATCTTTGAAGCTACCTGTTTACACAGAAGAAAAATATTAAGATGAAGTTTCACCATGGATACCTGTCTATTGGATAAGTACAGGTGTTTTAAAAAACACTGACCCTTTTTTTGCAAAAGAGGTTTGAATTTTGCATCAGTATTTGGAGGACATCTAGGAGTTTTACTACAAACTATGATCAATTTAGACAAATATGGTGTATTCTATGCAGGAGTGAATGTTTATTGTGAAGCATTTCTACCAGAGTACTATAGAGGTGCAAGTCATGTCTGACGATTTTTCCATGCATTAGAATTGATTCTTTTGTTAGCATTTCTGCATATGAATGAATCAACATTGGAGCAAAGCGGAGAAGATGCACCTTGTAAAGCTGAAGAGGACGGCGGAAGTAGTAGATCTCATCAGCATGAACACGATGGGAATGTGTATAAACCTTGAGACCATCCTTGAGCTTCTTGATCAGCTGTTTCCCCTCCTCATACATGGACTCACATATGTAAACATCACCCTCATCAATCTCTGTTGGCCGACCTATGAAAAAAGAGTTGCATTTGATTGTTTAACCAAAAATAAAGACTTCCAAAACTGAACACAGAAAGATTTTCATCACCTTCTATTAGAAAATATAAGATCCCTATTAAAGATTCAGCCTTCCCAATCCTTAACAGAAATACATGAGGAAAGCTCTATATGTGCTTTCTAGAAAGCTAGTTTTTCTTTTTCAAGGGGCTAAGAGAAAAAGGACTCACTGGTAGTATAATGGTCATGGTCCAAGACAGAACACTTTCCCATGATTGCCAGGAGAGGATTTGTGTCCTCAATTGATGACAAGAACACCTCCTGCTTGTAAAAGACCCGACTTGGTGGGTTGGAGATCTCTGGTGGTGTCACAAACCATGGTCCATGAAAGTAGGCCATCCCTCTAAAAGAGGCATTTTTAAGGCTGTTAATGAAGGGTGTAAATCTTAATGATAGGATGCAGGCTTACAATTGCAATGGAACTGAAAGACCAGCATGATTTACAAGGTGGCTCAGAGGACTTATTTCAATAATCAGCTTTTGCATCTTTGACTCAACAGGGTTTGAAATTTGCTTGAGCATGAGGGTTTATGATTCCAAGATATGAGGTTGGATATTGATGTGTCAAATGAACCTCCAGCTCTCAGGCTCCAGTGAATTTTGAACCTAGCTGAGGACTAGTGAGACCCTTGCAATTGTACTGTAATTTGGTCTATTGTTACAAATGTAAAAAATGTAAAAGGTTCTCTTCCATGCTTGGTTCCAGGAATTTAATGCATGATGAAGGTCTGAGGGGAGAAAAATTTTACATTATGTTGCTGCATGGAATAAATATTAAATTTCCAGGTCACACAATGAAATGAGTGCAAAAAAAAACTGCTCAAGGATTGCAGTACTTACTCTTCAGTGACCCACATGGAGTCAATCTGAGCAATGAGTTGCTTCCCATTTTCAGCTCTAACATATACACAATCCCCAAGCTTCACATGTCCCACAGGGATGTTGTACTGCTCATAGTAAATGCAGCCCTCCATTGCATTCTCCACTTCCAGAATCACATTCTATGGAAGAAAGATCAAAGTAAAATTAGGGTTCACACAGATACAGACATGAATTTACATCTACTGCAAAATTCATTGGAAACGTGTGCATTCACCGATCGGATCAGCTGAGGTCATTAAAACTCATTTTTGGCATTTTCATTATTGCATTAAGTAACTTCATATTATGTGATGTCACTGCTTAATGGAGGTTATCGACAATTAATGGAAGACTCATACCTTCCCCAATGGTTCCCAATTGAGTTTTTCCTTCATACTGTCACTTTTTTATTGCAACTTGAAAAACATTTTTGCTGAATTCAAAACATTTTTGTTACCCTCCTCCCTATGGAGTGCTGCACATGCCACATTTCAGCTTGCAGTATTGGCCAATTTCACTGTAAGGAATATATTATTGAAAAAGAAACCTTATTGCTATGTTAAAACAGGTACTTTCCCCTAATAGTTGATATCAGCTGAAAAACCAAGGAGGTTCCCACTTGCCCTGGGGGCCCCACTTACCCTAGGCAACTATACTGCAAGTCCCTTCTTAGGCCTAGCAGCCAGCTGGACTGAGGGAGTGTGTATGGTGCAATGCCAGAAGAAGGTGCATCTCAAAATGATGCCTCAGAAAGCAAAAGATTCAAACTAATTCCATCAAGCATTAACAGCTTCCTGACCAACTAATTGATAACAGAGTAAAGTTTAAATGAACAGGAGAGAGTTTTACTACATTTGATGCAAGTGTGAAATGCTTAATGTAATTAACCTGGAAATGGCAAGTAGATAAGAAAAGGTAAAACCTCTTTTTTTTGAGGTCACCCTGTATGATGCAGAAGACCAGTTATCATGCCATAATGAAATTACACAAGAAGTCCAAAAGTCTTTACTGCATAAAAGAAAAGGAGTCACGAAACACACTTTCAGTGCAAAGGAACCATCTTTATAAAAGTAAGGCATCTCTGATGGGCAATTTAAAGTTGGACCTCACATTGACCTCAAGTGACTGTGATGCAGTGAACCCACAATGACACCAAGTCACAAATTTGTGAATTCCTTAACAATTTGGAAAGGAATGAAGACGTCTTCCCTGCAATTTTTAAAGGGATTTCTTTGCCCTCATGAAATCAGCATTAAAACTAATGACAACTTATTGCAGAGGTTTTGAAAATAAATACGGCAACTAAAGCAGCTTAACCACATCTAGCAAGTGCCAACAAGGTAAAACAGCCTTATTGTTATAGGGATTTTACTCCAGCATAAGGATGAAAAATAACTAATAAAACAAGAACTGAATGGCAAGGAGAAAGTGTGGAATGAAAATGTTTGATGAGATCAAACTAATAAAACTTAAAGAAATTTCAGGGAGTATTCACTGAAAGTATTCTAGTTTATAAACACCCCTTTCATCATGGCCACCTTCATGGTATTCAAAATAATAATGCCCCTGGACAGAAGAAAAGTTAACTTCATTGCATTCATATCAGCAGGTACTTGTCTATGATTCTACTTTAAAAAAAAAAAAAAAAAAAACATTCACATTATTAGATAAGTTTTTATAGTTTTCACTATGTATGTGACACACTCATGAGAGACAGGAATGGCAGCACCTTTCTTACCGATATTGATTTCTGAGAAAATCTTGCCTCGCCCTCTTCCAGCTCAGCGATCTCTTCCTTATGCTTCTCCACTCGTTCTTTGAATACTGATAGGACCCGTTTAGGCTCCAGATGGACATCCCGCTGCACGATCTTCACGTGGTCCTGTAGTGGGGTTCGATGATCCTAGTTCGATGATCCAACAAAAATCCCATTAAATCACATCTATGCCCAGCAGAAACTTCATGCTGCACATATGCTGAAAATGTTGGTAGGGTAACCAATAAATTACATATGTGAATGATTCTCAATCAGTGGGAGAGAGAAGCATGGGGCAGGGCATCAGAGCCCATGACAGAGGACTACAAAACAATATAATTTTTTAAATTATTATAAGAAAACCATTTTCTTTTCAAAAAGAAAGAGGAATATGGAATAATGCAATAATGATAATGGCATGAAATAATTATCTGACAGGCTCTTTTACTTAAACTTACTTAGATCAAAATTATTCTGAGGAGATTAATAGCATATGAGAGAAAATTTAATTACTGAGATTTGGCAATATCAGATATTAGTTATCTATCAGACTCCTATGAAGAGAATTGTGGGATATCAGATATGTGTAGAATCTGAAAATGTATCTGCAGTCCTGGAAATACAGGTACTGCCAATAATTATGCACAGCTACACTGCAATTACTCCACTATGTCTTGGTACCTTTTCTTTCCATAGGAATGGGGATTTATGAAACTGCTTGTGAACAGTTCAGTGGTCCATTGCATGAAAAGGAATGGTATAGAGATTGGATTGAGAAAAACAAAGATATTGTACTTGTGTTACCAGAAAATAATATAGCAATGACTAGTGATATGATGAAGGGTAAAGAGGCAAAGGCTTTGAAGCACTCACCCTCCACTTAACAAGCTTCTTGAACATGCGGTTGCGGGAGGAGTAGCGGCTTTCACACACATAGATGTCTTTGTCCTCAAAGCCCTCTGGGTGTAATTTGTAGTAATCTTTCACATACATCACCCAGCATTTCCCTCGTACCTGATTCACTGGGATTGAGCTATGTGTGTCACTCTTGAACACTTCCTACAAGATTTTCAACCATCAACACCACACATAGAATAATAATAAAAAAAACATATTGCTAAATCTGTCAAGCTTGTTTTCATGAACTAATAAAACTGACAAAAAATTAGGTTAAGTAACTTAACCATCCTAACCATTTTAGGCAAGTTTCACAAAAATTAAAGGGTTAAAAAGATTTCTTTGATGGGAAATATTGCAGTTGGATCACTAATTAGTGAATCTGACTTGTAATTAGACTCCTTCAACCCCATAGGCTTAAGTAAACCTGTATGAGATTTCAGTGATGAGATGTTGACTATACAATTTTTATTTTCATTATTTTTTATTTCATATTTTTTTATTCTCGATTCTAAGCTAAAGATGGCAACAACCTAGACTTAGCCTTGCCTTCTCGAGGAATTTGCGTGTGGTGAGGTGAAATGTTTCATTAGGCCTGTAGTACCAATTCCCATAAAAGCAGAGCTGGTTTTCCTCCTGGAAGAGTTTCTCAATGAGGAGAATATGTGGCTCCATGCCCTTTTCACGAGGCTCAATATACACATAGTCCCCCACATGGTACACTTCCCCATTGATGCGGAATTCAGTTCCTGTTGACTCCAGCGTTTCCATCTGGATTGTAGATGCATTATAACATATAATCATATATAATGACTTCATTTTCATAAGGAACTTCATAAGGACTGCATTTACAAAAACAAGCATTTAGGCTTTTTGGATAAAAAGGATATCTTACGGTTTGTAAAAATAAATGGTTATGTCCAATTTACCAGGGGAAGCAAAGGAATTTAAACTACACCTCACATACAGTGGGATATGCATAATTTCCTAACACTATATATATATATTGCTAAATCATATTGTTATAACACTGCATAATAATTCAGTTATGCATGTCATAATGTTTGCCAGGAATATCTTATGCAAGTAGTGCAACAAGATTATATTCATGTAAAAAACCTAATAAAATATTGCAGTTGTGGCATCTTGTTCTCAGCCTTGGTCATCTACATCCTATAACTGTACAAAAAAACTCTTTTCAGACATTAATAAAGCTAAGCAAAACCAGTTCACAAATCTGGCTTCCACTAATGCACAGTCTTGAAACCCTGTGACAATAAACTGTCAACTGCACTGATGGCAAAGATGTTGATCAGTTGAGGGTCACTGCAGTACAGAATAAAAATGCAGCTATGAGGAAGTTTCTGGGATTTTATTTCTAATCACATTCTTGTCACCCCCCTTATTTTATTTTGAAAGCACCAATTTTTAATACATGAAACTTTTCTGATAGGATGATAGTCTACTTTCTGAATCAGACTCATTCCTAACCCCAACCTATTTTAGAGCCTTCCTCATTCTCTGCATCTGTTAAATGGTGATATAATCTGAGGTCAACAATCAAGATGGAGGAGGGACACCAATCCTCCTTTAAGGAAGTCCTCAGAAGCCACTACATGCAAGTTCAGAACTCTGACTACCATAGATGCTGGTAAATTCTGGCTAATTTTCACTCAAATTTGAACAAGTTGGATGCAGTATACACTTTTCCACAGTATTTACAAGATGATAGGGAAACTACATGAAACCCCAATTGAGCCTAATGTGCTGGTCCTTCTACTAATGGAGAACTTCTTCCATTTTGCTTTTACTGGTGGACGAGGGCAGATTATTGTCATAGAAGAGTCATTGAAGCATGGAGCAAGTCTGCACAAAAATCAGTCAAATGAGAAAGAATGACCACTAGCCATAAACAAAACATCTTTCTTGAGAAGCTTACCTTGATTTGCTCTTCCTTTTCCTGCTTCTGCTGAGTGTCAGCTTCATCTTCGCGCTGCTCAAGGGGGATTTTCTCACTTCGCAGAACAGCTACTTGTGAAGCCAAGTGCTGCTTTGTATACCGGAATGCACTTGACTTCAAAACTCCACTCAGCTCATCTCTGTAGAGAATTTCTGGTATCAGTGTTCCAAAGAGTTATAAAAGTTCCAAAGGAAGGAAGGATTTTGACCCCCTTTCCAAATGTGCTACTTGGTAATATATCATTCCTCTACTGCAGCAAGCTAGAAAAGAGGGGTGCTCAGGTCTGTCATAAAAAAAAGTAACATATAGGGTTGTCCAAAAAAGCAGCTGCCGTCCACAGTCTGGCCATCCACAGCATTCATCACCTTCAATGGATTCTGCCATTCATAATCTTCCTAATTCTTGTGTGGGTGACATAAGCAATTTCACAAAGGGCCAAATTATTAGAGAAAAATATGCTCTAAAGTAGAGATCCTCCAATTTTATTCAATCATGCATAAAATTCTAGAGCTTTTCTCATCCCAAGCATCATTCTCTTCCATTATAACCCAGGGAACCCCAATATATAAACAAAGATTAAGAGAGAAGGCAAAAATTTCCAATTGCATTTTAGCAACACATGATACTATCCAGTAAGTTAGCAAAGCAAGAGCCTTGAAGGGCTTTTCCACTAAAAAAAAAAAAAAAAAAAAGCATTGTTGCCAAATGGTGCAGCAGACAAAGAAGCAATGAGGAGATTTGGGTTTCTCCAAAAAGTTGCATTCTGACTCAATGACTACTACTTGTTACCTTTGGTGCTGAGAATTTGTAAGCCTGTCATTCAGCATATAAAATGCTTGCTTGTGGTATCACTTTCTGTCAGGAACAACTTCTTACTAACACATTCCTTTTTTTCAATAATTTGAAGATGAATCTACTCCAGTCCCCCCACACCCCCTTTGGCACCCATCCTTTAAGCAATCCAAAGAATCATCTGAACATCAATACATAGACAAACCGTTGAGTGAGGAAGAAAGACTGCAGCTCAATGGAGTCCTCAAAGACCTGAGAATCAGTGCGAGAGAGGCGTCGTGCACGTTCCAGTACTGCAAATACGTCTTCTTGGAAGCGATCCAGACGGCGATAGAGACCTTTGTCCAGGAACCTCTTAATCATGTCCAGGGACAGGGCTCGCACCCTATCAGTCATTCCACATTCTGAGTTAACAACTGAAACTAAACTTAAATCTTAGTCAAATATGGGACACTTACTACTTCAATCACTCTACTACCATGTCCATGGATCCATTAAATTAAGTAGTATTTGAAAATTCTAAATTCAGAACAACTAAAACTGAAAGCAAACAAGTTTTGTTATGGATAGATTTCAAAGCAAAAGCATTCAGCTAAATGAAAACCAGCTATTCTAACCTTAACATGCAATAATGCTCAATTCTACCAAATCTGGCACTGGATATATAATTTTTAGTTCAGACAATTGATACCTAAAAATAGTGCTAAAATTCAGGATTACTGGGTTCCCCCTTATATCACAGAAAAAGTTAGACATAATTGCAGGCAAAATTACATTGAACTATCTAGACTGACTGAAGGTGGACTGACTTGGTGCCATCAGCCATTGTGTCATACTCAGGGACTTCCTGCAAGGAATCTGAGAAGCATCTTCCCTCTTCATCAGTGTGATTATAGATGGAGATAAAAAGAGACATTAGCAGTTCCTGGATGGCAGCCCGCACATCAGGTACCAGGGACTCATCCTCAGACAACTGCAACTTCTTTTGAAGGGCCAATCGCTGTAGTGTCAGAGCATCCTAGGACATAACATGAACTCTTTAGATCAGGCTCTCTTCCAACACTGCTACTTTAGTCGTTGATAATTGAACACATCATCAACCTTGTTGTACAATAGACAGCAGCTTTTTTTTAACACCTATTTTACAGTGGAGAGAGAGAAAGAGGGTCTGCAGCACATATTTGTGGAATAGCAGGAATCCAATTTTGTTCTCTCCATGTGATAAGAGAGATTTATAAAAAAATCCATTGCAGAACATAAGAACAACAATGAAAAAAAGGCAGTTCAACATTTTTCAATTACAGATTAGTAAATGTATGTTGAATTGCTCCTATTTGAGGCAGTTTCATTGTTTCCTATGTCCTCCTTGGCTTGTCTTGCTCCTGAAAACTAAAAGAGGCTACTAGATATATAAATAATTTATAATTGAATAAAATAATTTTACATTGAAACCCATTTTTAAAACAGGCCCAATGAACTTACATTCAAATCTTGAGATGCCTCAAACAACAAGTCTCATTCTATGAATGACTGAGAAGCTGAAAGTTCACATGTGAAAATAACTGAAGGAATGTATTCATACATCAATCTGGAAAATGCATGGCTGTGAAAAATCACTGAGATTAGAAAGTGCATCTAATAAGACTATAACCTTTTTGACCCACAGACACAGAGATAGGCTTACCTTGTAAATTTGAGAGTCTGGTTCATTGAATTTGCAAGCATTGTCAAACATGAGGAGAAGATCTGAGAGGAGTTCATCCAGTGTGAGATAGTATGCATTGCGAATGCGCTGTGAGATCTTGTCCATGTCTATTGGGTGTCTGATAACCTCATAGTAATCAGGGTACTCCTACAGAAGAAGAAAGATGTCAAGGAGATTTTCCCACAGGAGGCAAAAGACAGAGCAACCTGAGGAACAAACTGTTCTGGATGGGAGTTTTTGGAAAATGGTTGATAGTTGACGGCTTGTCTTGGGGTCTGTGAATTCCCGAATGGCCTCATATAATGTCCACATCTTCTGCAGAGTCGCTGAACTTCTCTTCCTCTTCATTCTACATTATAGAAAGAAATCAGAATAAGAACAAGTTTCAGAAGAGAAACCTTGCAGGTAAAGATATTAAACCATGACCCTTACTACAAAGGGGAACCAAAAAGAAAAGCTGACTAAAATGAATCCTGGACAGAAAAGTAAAGTTCATTCCATTCAATGAAATATTTCCTGAGTCATAACACTGTAGAATCATCAGACTTTGAAATTATGTCAGCAGAACTAAAGCACAGGCCTTTACCCTTGTTGGAGATCAGAGGTGCTCCAACAAAGTCTAAAAAAGAATCAGCAAATTTAAGGCCAAGATCTACAGTACCAGAAATTGAAAATTTACCATCTATTTTCTTGGGTCTTGTTATCTCAACTAATAATGGAGGTAGTTAGAGCTTGACAGAGTTTGAGACCATCCAAAGCAGCTAATTAAGTCAGTAATGATGGCAAAGGTGTCCAAATTAGCATTAGTTACAGATGGCAATTAGGCCAATTCAACAACTATTTCTGCAGATATCAAACATATGCTGATAATGAGGCAATGAGGGAGAGACTTCTTGGTTTTATCTGGAGTAGCGATCTCAACTCCATTCCCCTCCATTTCCTCCACTTTTTGCATGAGAACCTTCTCCAGAATCACAGCATCCTGATAGATCACAGATCCTTCCTCATTGTATTCCCTGCAGTTATTAAACATCAGCTGGCAGAAAAAGAAACATGGAGAATGTAACAACAAATTGAATGTTGCTCTTCATATACATGAGCCAGGAGGGAAGTAAAGAACCTTGCAGTCGGACACGAACTCCTGGACAGACTTGTACTTATCATTCTTAACATTGGCTTCGATGGTCATCATGTCAATAGGATCTGAGATTACCTGATAGTAATCTGGGTAACTTTTTCTTGAAGGCTTCTCCATGAATACCACGATCAGCTGACGACCATTCTCATCCTAAAACAGATTTGTTGAACTTGATCACTTCTGTATTCACACTTCAGTTAACCCTTTGAAAGTGATAACACTGCAAGACTTCAAAACAGTCCTAGGTGCCCGAGAGCAACCCAATTATGAAAATGAACATCCTACTGTGAAGGTGGGTTGAAACACCTTGCTTTCTAAACAGAAATACTTATGGATGTTTCCTTTCATGATCACATGGTCATAACATCATCGGACAGACAGTGAGACAAATTCAGTGACATAAGTAGAAGTTATCAAGCCAATCTGTTAAAGAACACAATAAAGTGAATTCTGATATGGTTACCGAATAGTCGATGATAGACTTGACCAACAGCTTAAGCCTCTTCTTGAGCAGAAGAGCCTGCCTCTGTGTTCGTGTTAGCTTTTTCCCCTTCCGAGATCCATCTTCACCCTCTTCACTCAAGGATCCCTGTATCAGCAAGATATTGCAAGGATTGATGCCATACTCAAACACTAATCTAACATAAATTTTGTGATAATGCATGATAGGATATTGAGAGATTCACCTCCAGTTCAAGGAGCTCCTGAAGTTTAGTCTGCATAATCTTCTGCAGTTTCACTGCATCCTTGTACATGCGGGAATCAGGTCGATTATACTGTTTGGCATTCTCAAACATGACGTTGAAGTCTCCAGCCACTTCACTCATGGTGCCATATGCCCCATTCTGGAAGGATCAAGAAAAACTACAACTATGCTAACTTGCTCTATGAAGAGTGTCTAAAGGGGTCGGAGAGACTCACCTTAATTTTAGTCTTAATCTTATGCATGGACATGGGGTTCTTGATCTCTCTCCAATAGTCAGGATAGTAGCGCTTGGATGGTAGGCGTTGGAAGGGTTCAGATAGCTCATAACCTTTAGAAAGAAGGTATGCAATCATTGCATAGAAGAGCTAGAACTGTGGGAAATTTTGAAAACAAGGAATCAGCATACCGCCTTGAGAATAATTAGCCACTGCATCATAGAGCTCAATCTGAGGGCTGTCATCATCTACATCTTCACTCTCTGACCCAGATTCTCCCTCAGACTCCACATCAGAATCACCTGTCCCTTCCCCTCCTCCATCTTCCAGGTCAAGGTCTGGTGGATCCTCATTCTCATACTGAAGTGCAGCAACTGTTGCTGACATGGACTTCAACTTTCGACTTCTGTTTTCAAAAAATGCAAAACCTGCTCTCAAAAGCTAGAACACCAACCAAGTCAATAGTTTTCCTGTCATTTACAAAGAGTTTCTTCTGAATCTTTCACTTTGCAACATGTGGGAATGCACAACCCTAGTTTGGATTATATATATAAACGCAACATAGGGAGATTTTTGCCACCTGTTTGTGGAGTTCAATGTATGCCCTTTAGCTCACTGGGCTGCATATCTGGAAGGAAACACACCAGGGATAGGTTTCATCCTTCCAGATATGCATCCCGGTGAGCTATAAGGCATGTCTCGAACTCCACCAACAGGCAGCAAAAATCACCCTATGTTGCGTTTAAATACGAACGTAATACAACGCAATAACGAAATACGTAAAAGTTGCTTTACTTAGACAGTGAAGTGTTTAACTGATTATTTTCACTTGCATTCAGATTTTTATTTGCAGATGTGAAATGTGTATTGAACAAGATGGACAACAATTTGAACCATTTCTGTAGCTCCTCAGTCACTTTCCGCTGGTGGTTGGCTGTAAATAAAGTAGTTTTTCCCGGGAACGTGAGTATAATCTTGGTAAAGCAACTTTTAGGACATATTTGAGGTTTCTCAAAATTAAATATTTACATCAGGATTAGAATGCAGATGGAAGGGAGGATCAGGTTGTCTATGACCTTGTAACTGGATCAGATTTTACCCTTGGGGTATTCATCTGAGAAATGAAATTGGGAATCTTTTGCTCTCAAACATCAATTCCAAGGTAGTTTAACAGAAATGGACAGGTCTCTTCACATGATGAGATTCATGCTATCTCTACCCCAAATGTGTGAGGTCCATGACAAATTTTTAGAGCAAAAGAGTATACATAAGCAATCATGAGGACTGCAATATCACTTTGAAAACTATTTGGAGGATTCCTGAAACCTATGTAGCCTCTGGATGTCAATCTGCACACTTATTGGAACAAGCCAATGGATTCTTGAGCTTGAGATGCCAACAGCCAGGAAATGGAAGACAAACCTTATGCGCTCACTGTACTTCCCAGGTGTTCCCACCACCTTTCCTTGCTCTAGCTCTGCACGTCGATTCTGGATAACCTTCTTCAGTGTCTTGGCATCATTGAAGATTTGGGATCCTGGCTGGTTAAACGTGCATGCATTCTTCACCATTAACTGAAGATCCTTTTCCATCTCAGCCAGGGAAGCATACTCTTTCCCCTGAATCTTCATTGCAATGCGTTTCAGGTCAACTGGATTCTCAATCACCCTGTAGTAGGAAGGGTAATGCTGGAAAGAGCACAAAGAATGTAGAACAGCCATCAATGCTTGAAACAACTTAATAAATTATGAAGACTCATGGCCATTAATATGCCAAACATAGATGAATGTATTTGCCATATGTGGTAAGCTTAAGAAAAAAAAAAGAAGAGGGATACCCTTAGAAACATTTCCTCACAATGAGTAAAACCCAGGGTGCCAACAATGACATAATTTCATTTGATACTAAATACATATGTACACTTCCAAATGAAATGCCATATGAACAACAGAAAAACAATGGATGCCATTAAGAGGCAACAACTACAGTTATAGTGACTTATGAATGACTTATGTCAAAGCATACATGGATAGAGTGAACGAAGTTGTCAAAGATCAGACGGTTCAATGTACCTTTCGACTGGGCAGAAGTTGGAAAGGAACAGAGAGGTTTCGCCCTTCAGTATCAACAGCTTCCATGACAGCTACCAGGAGTTCCTCCAAAAGATTCTCTAATTTCTCTTCCTCTGCTTCATTAGTTGTGTTGCTGGTCACAGATTCTGTCTCCTCAGATGCATCCTCACCTGACACTGCTGCTGCAGCAGCTTTCTTTGTCTGAAAGTTTCATTCACATCAAGTTCATCTATATTACCCAACACATGTAGCCTTATATCTGTATGGATGAACAAATGAATATCAGCACTGACAAGCTTCTTCCAGTTGAGAATGAGCCTCCCTCGAGGTTCTTCATCTTTATCAAGGTTGGCCTGGGCTGTTCGGAAGACCTCAGACAGTTCTGTGGCTGCTTTGTGCTCCTCGGTTTGTTTCTAAAGATGAATTATACTACTCACTCTGGAATCCATTTATAGTAAGCCTATAGCCTCTGGCAATAGTATATAGCAGGAATAGGGTCTGAGCCTTCTGAAACTCATATCAAACGCTTCATGAGCCTTTTATATTACTTGTGGTACATATTCCACTAAAGATGGCATTAAAAGGTCGTGTAGATAAAAACTGACAAAAATGAGCTAAGATTTATCATCTATGGCTTACATAGAACTGAGGCCAAGGTGAAAATTGAAACAATTCCAGACCTACGCCTGCAACAAATATTTAATGTTTTCCAAATCCATTTTTGTGTTCTGACCTTATAGTAACTCTTGGCATTGTTGAACATGAGTTCAATGTCATCGATGAAAGATGTCACACTTTCATACTCATCGGAGCGCAGCTTCTGTTGAATGCGTGACAGATCAATGGGATTGCTAATTGTCTCATGATAATCAGGAAAACTTCGTCGTTTTGGAGCCCTCATGAAGTAATCACAAAGATGCTTTCCCTCTTCACTCCGATGATTCCGTATTACATCCAGGAGCTCCTGGCATATTTCATGCTGCAAGAATGTTGATGAGAAAAACTTAGTACTGGCAGGTATATTGGTAAGATACAACATAAGTCTGCCATTGCACTGCAAAAACTTCAACGACTGGAGTTCTTACACAATCACCATTATGTAGATCTTAATAGATACATTAAGCTTCATGATCAATACTTGCAATGAGACTATTCTCATTCATGTCAGTATCCATATAATTGATTCTGGGCACTAACCGCATCAGGTCGTCTCCTCTTTCGCAGCACGGGTGTTTGCTCAGAGACAGTAGTGGAGGCAGCATCACTGGAATCTTCCTCTTCTCCCTGACTCGGGGAGTCAGCTCTCTTCCGTTTTGGCATGTCTAGCTTTCTCAACGCTCAACACAGTCCATACACACAACACAAAAGAACTCAACACATGAGGTATGATAGTGTGAAAGAACTCAATCCTCATTCACATGCCTGGTGCCTGGGAGAACAGAAAAATACAATAAGTGCTGTAAATAAACACAAATGAAAGCAATAAGCAGATAAGAATTAATGAAGGAGAGTATGCAAAAATCTACTGTCCTCTTACTTGGACACTTCTAGACCTGGGCCCATCCAAAGTGTTGGATGTTACATCTGGAGTTATATATTGATATACAAAATGTGTTCAAATATATTATAAATGACAAATCAACATATAACATATGCAGCAATTAGCCTTAGGCAGGGATTGAAAATTCAAAACCAATGTCATGCATATTCTCATTTCCTAGAGGTGTATCTATGGGTGAAGAAAGTGTCAGGCATGACATTTCATGAAACCTCTACTTAAAGCCATCAGCTCCAATGTTCATATTTCTGTCCATAGTGAACATATCAATCATGTTCATTCTATAGAATATGTGAAAGCCTGAAATCAGTGTAAGTCATGATTACAGGATTCAGAAAAGAAAGCAAGACTCTTCTGTGAATAAGTTAGATGTGACAAAAAAGTGTCAAAAATGACACATTCTGAAAGTTTATTTGAAAACAATGTCTATATTAACATCACCTTGTCACACCTGAAGTAATTTAAACTATGTATGGGAAAAAAAACCACTATGCATGGGAGAACATATGGTGGTATCAGTTCCAGTAGTCCAGTTCAGTCTCTCCAGACTTGCATTTCCATCATATCCATGAATAACATGAGAGTGGTGCAAGTAATATAAAACAAAAAAGACAAATTATTTCATCTTTAAAGGTAACATCATTCATTCATGTCTTCAGGAAGAAGAGATTATGAACTTTTGCATAGAATGCTTGCAAATTTAGAGAAATTTCCTGCTAAGAATCTTTGGACCATTTAGTGTGGACAGACCCACTTGGTTCTTGGAGACTAGAAAAATGTGCTTCATAATTCATGATATAATGAAGTCACCAAAAATATTCAGGCAAGGTAACCTCTCAAAAATCTCAACCAATAATGCATTAGACCTAGGGTTAAATGGCTCCTCTTGCATTGTCATATTCAGCTAAAAGCAGCTTGCTAATCTCTAATGGAAAGGAAAAGGCTCCTCTGAATCTGAGAATGAAAGCATCTGACTGCATGCATCAATGGAATTCATGTTTGGCATGAGCAATGAGTTTGAGTGAGTACACAAGCTAAATTTGTGATTTCCAACAAAGAAAGCAGAAGAGAATAAAGGGAATAAGCAAACAGTTACAACCTTGTGCAAAATATGAAACAAATCATTCCTTCAATATGTGTTAGAATGAAACTTTCTACAATTGAAACCCATGAGTGCATATGGAGAATATGAAGCACATATATAATATAGCCAAAAATTAATCCTTGGACTGGAACTATGCTATTCTTTCAAACTGGATGAATGGAGGTCATGGGTGCTCCAGCTTGCCAGATGGCATGACAAGCCCAAGTCATATAATGCCTGCTTTTACTTAATACTGGTTACTGCAAAATGAAGATACCTAGTTCCTTCATTTTAACAAGATTTGGTCATACTGGGTGGGACATGAAAAAGGGAAATATTTTTAAAATACAAAACATGTTTATTATTGCAAACAGAAACAGGAAATTGCATTTTATATAAAAACTTGAGAAGTTTTTGATCTGCCTATACAAATTATTTTAAATGAGCACTCTTTTTCTCTACACATTTGTGAATATGCATAAAAAAAGGTTTTGTATAACTCTGGAGTGTTTATTTTTCAATACTAGCAATAGGTAGGATGAAGTCCTTCAGTTCAGCAACTGACTCAAGTTTTTTCTTGAATACTTATTTGGTCTTGAATGACCTTTATTAGCATTGTGCACTGAACCTGTGGAATGTTCTGAATTTCTTTACCAGACCTATTACATTTTATAAAGAAGTACACAAATGGGATTCTTCAGTGAAAGGATTTTTGGACAATTTTTGGTGATTTTGTTTCAATGTAGGTGTCATAGATTAAAAAATATGCAGCTCTGTAGTGAATTGTTCCATTGTTCACCAGTACCTGTAAGGAAAAAAGTATGTTGCTGTTCTATGCTAAAATTTATGGCTTATTTCTATCTCCAATGGAAGAGATTTTTATAAAAGCATAAAATGCTTCCCTTTTTTGTGGTCCACCTTGCATGAGAAGAAAGGAAGGTGAAATAGAGCTACTATTTTGAACATGATTAATTGTCAACTCCTCTTCCATTGTAGGAAGAAAATATTGGCAAAATCAATACATACCAAGATCCCAAACCCTGGCTCATACATGGCTGTAATAATGGGTCAATGATGCATTGCACCTCAAGCATGAATGACAAGAACTTTAATGAGATAAGAGGAAGGATGGCTGCAAAGGAGTCCTGTTGAAGGGATCATCAACTGAGCATCCTAGAGCTTCCAGCTTCTCTCTAGCAAGCCTCAACAGTTCATTATGAATAGAACAAACCTGCACTAGCTCTCGTTGCAAGTCCCGGATGACCAAATTCTTGCTCTCCAGTGTGTCCTCTACCTTCTTGGCCAAACGTGCATTTGCTTCAGAGGAGTTTTGCAATATTTCATTCAACTGAGCATCTTTGCTTTCCAAAGTCTCACTCAACACTTCCAACTGGGACTCAAACAACACATTCTTCTCTATGTTTTTCTGATGGACTTCAGCAACACCTTTCACCAACTTTTTGTACAGATCATCCCTCTCTTGTTCTACTTGCTGCAGTTTTTGGGTGAGGACTTCCTTCTCCCATTTAAGCTTTGCAATTAAGTCCTGTGCTTCCTCCATCTGCTTCTTGGTTCTTGTTTGAGACACTTTCTCCCTTGTGAGTTGATTCACCTTCTTCTGTAAGGCTTCAAGTTCCCTTTGTGCAGACAAAAACGGCTCGGAGAGCTTTTTATTCTCTGATTTCAGGTCAGATATCTGCTTCTCATATGTGGCCCCAGTTGACTTCAACTCCTCAATCTTCTCTTTCAGGCTATTGATAAGTGCAAGATTATTGACAACAATGTCATTGTAGTAATTTTTCATGTCTAGAAGGGCCTTGTCATGCTTGGAGATGAGGTTCTGCAGATGTCGATTTTTCGCAAGAAGGTGAACTGCTTAGAGGCAGTATGCAGCGTATAGACGGAACAGTACTTCAAGGAAGTAGGCAGGGAGGGTAAAGACCAAGTCGTTCAGGTTAACGAACTACTTGAAAAGGGCAAGCCGTTGCAGAGCATCACTGTGTGCGATGATGCACTCGCGGACTATTTTCTGATGATCGCTTAAACGCTGCAGTTCCATGGTGCAGCGCACTTTGTCCAATTCTTCCTCTAACTCATTTTCCCTCAGTCGATGGATTTGTTCTTCACTGGCAAGATTCTGGAAGGCTTCGGCATTGGCCAAATTTAATGTTCTCCTTTGTTCCAACAGGATATACTTGATCTTTTGACTCTCCAGGCGTCGTTCTTCGAAACGATCATCTTCAATCTTCTCCAGCTCTTTGTCTCGCTGCTGCAGCATTTCATCCTTTTTCTGGGAATGAGCCTTGCTGATTTCCCAGAAAGACTTGAGTCTGTCCCTCTCCGACTGAAAATATTCTCTTTCTTCTCGCTCACGATCCAATTCTCCTTGTAGGCGGCGAACCAACGACTCTAGTTGTTCTCGAGGTAGTTCGCCGACCGGCAATCCATCGTACATCACACTTTGCTTCCCAGAACCTGTCTTTTTCTTTTTCGTCTTTCCAGGAGCCTTTCCCCCAGCGGTAGTACTTTGACCAGATTTTTTTGGACCCATTCTGTCTCTTGATTCCTGTGTAACGTTAAGCAGAGTTTCCGGGTAGGCCTAGTCCTACATTACTTTCTCTTCCCTGTTTGCATGTGAATAAAAGAAGACTTCCTTTAAGTAAAGCAAAAATTGGTCATGTTTATGGTAAGCTCAGGGTAGTAAAGGGCTACCTCTGAAGGCTACGTTCTTAGACCTAGGCAGACAACTGTGTTGCAACCGCATTTGGACTGCGACTCGGTACCCTGAGGAGCTTGTTTCAAACGTGAGATGGTATGAATTGCAAAAATTAAAAATTGCTCTGGTTCTCAAACCAGAGGAATTGCCTTTTAACGTATATCTATACTGTACAATATAATGATAGGACTAGGATTCCCCTGAGCTGAGGACTCGCCAAATATTAAGAGTGCTTCCAGCACACATCATTTGAAGAGCTACCATAAAAATTCAAAATCTGAGTGGGCAAACGATGCATACGATCACTAACATTTTACCGCACTTCGACAATGCTCTTGTCTGATCTGTTGATAAATATCATCTTTCACTTCTTCCCCTCCATAATTTAAGTCAGTGGTTCTAACTTTTTTTTTCCTTACACCCGAGGACCCTTTTCGGAATTGTGGTGGACTGCGCAGACCCCCTTCTACATTGCGTAAAATTCGAATTCTAATATGTTGTGGAAATAATTTTGACTATTTTAAAAGTTGTGGAGCGGTATGGAATTATTTTAATACATCAATTTTTCCTTTCGTCCGTCTTTTATTTTTGGCCTGGGCATAGTTTCGCAGACCCCTGTAGCCTTGTCACGGGCCCCCTGTCGAGAAATGCTGACTTAAGTTATTTCATTCAACAAAAGGCGAAATACAATCGTTCATATAATAACACCGCTGAGTTTGTCTGGGAACTCCACGTCCGCTGAACGGATCCGAGCAAAAAGAAAGTCCAAACTTTGGAAGGCCCCTGGAAAGTACCACATCTTTTCGTTAGGTATGGTGAAACTATTTTTAAATGTCAATAAAACTCCAGGTTGAGTATATTCATCCTGCGGGCGGAAAATAGCTTGAGATCAGTTACGGATACCCCTGACAATCTTTTCCCATGAAACAAGGTTCTAGCTAGGCGTCTGTAACGGCGGACCGCCCAGTCACGATACCGCCATTACCGTCCGATTTAAAAATGCAGCCGCGCAGACAAAAAAGTACTGAACTTGAATATGCTGATTTCCCCTTCGGCATATCCTCCAACGATGGCAACTGAGACATTGT